GTTGAATCTCTCATGCCTAAATCCTGCTAGCCCCAGTGAGGCAAGCAGTTTCAGTCTCTGGCTGACACTAATACTCTAATTTCTGGTGACCTGGGATTATTGCTATTTAAGAGAGAATGTTTAAGGAAAATGGCTGTACTCCATTTTTGTACTCTCCCAAATCTTATGCTCTGCCACGGATCTGACTGACTCCCAACACAGAATTTATACATCCCAGCTGTGTGGTGTCAAAGGGCTACTCCAGTAGCTGAGAACAACCATAGTGCAGAAGTGCTTGATGACCCCACTTTTCTCCAGTCCCATGCCTCAGTGCTCCCTGGCTGGCCACTCACTTGTAAAGAAGAAAGATCGCCAGTGAATACTGCTATCCTCACCCACTGCTACAAAGGCTCCCTTCTGTTTGCAAAGGCTGCCCATGAAACACCCATAAATAGTGCTGCAGCAGCCTACAGCAGGAGGAATCCTAGATGAAAATCCTGCCTGTCTCACTACTTCATGTAGCTGAAGAGGTCCTCAGCTGCACCAGAGTTACTTGTACCATGTGAATTTAATTCTAAATATAGAAAGTTCTCTTCCTGGGATTTTGTACTTGAACTATCATTTAATATTTAGAAGGATGGGCACCATTATTCACCCGCAGAAAAAAGAAAATTTGCTCTTATAATAATCAAATTCCCCTCACTTCAGGCTTTGACCTCAAAAAACTTGACAGCGGCTATTTGTGCATCTAGTCTGGCACCACAGTAACCCAAGGATCACTATCAGTCCAAAGGTTCAGTCCTGGGATGCAGCCATTATGTTTAGCTGAAAGCGTTTAGCAAGCAAATATAACCTACTCAGAAATTCATGCCACAGGGAATATTGTTTATTCCAGGAACCTTGTGCAGCTTGCTTTATGCATCTTTATAAATACAAATAAATTCACTAAAGAACAACTTAACCTTGTGGATTTAAGATTCATTTAACCTTTGTGCTCACATGTTCTTTAAGCTGCAGGCTCTGCATTTTTATTAAAATAAACAGTTTTGAAAATGTGAACATTTGTCGCAGTACGCTATCCAGCCATCCCACAGTTCCTCCCCTTCTGTGGGTAGCAACGTAATAAAATATTTTATCAGAGGAGCTGGTAAAGTCTCAAATGGAACAATGGCCATCTACCCGCAGATTAATGCAGACAAGTATTACTATCTGGCATACAGCTATAAAATACAATTCTTGTGTTATAGCTGTAAAATGACATATAAAACTAGTGAAGCTGAGAAAAAAGTGTAAATATATGTAAATGACCAAAGTAATTACAAATAGGTAAATACTAGATGATTTAAAGAACACCTAAAGCTCAACAATCCTTGCCTTTGTAAGTGTAGGCCAGCAAATGTAGTCCTAAAGGGAAACCTGCAGTAAAAGCCTATCTTTCTGTAAATGTGTGTATAAACTACTGTAACACATAATGTAGGCAAGAAGACAGGAAGGCTCCTCCCTGTTTAATGGACAGTGGATCACTCACCATGTCTACTTGCTTCACTGTAGCATGACAGTCTGCAGTACATTAACTACATAAAATGAAAAACTTGAGGTATCTCACTATATCGCATAGAGGAAGAAAGTACAATACCCAGAATGCTAATAACCCCTGTGCTGTAGGCAGTACAACCTAAATTAATTGAACACCGGCATATTTTTACTTAAATGGTCTCCACATCTAGTTAGATCATGTTTGTTATAATAAACATCTACTTAAGACAATGCAGCTATGTAACTGAGCTCTATAATGCTTAGGTTCCAACCAGCTTACAAGCAAGCTGGGGAATTACTTCAGTGTATTCTCTTACTTCAATATCATGTGCATTGGTCATAGCTGGAAAGGAATCAGTTTTCCTGTTGAGAGAGTTATGCTCAAATGAAGAAAGTTCATTTCACCATTCCACCAAGAAAGGTCTTTCAGTGGACTGGTTAGAAGTTACAAATATGGCTGTGGGGATGTGTGAAATCAAGGCTCAGGTCCCTGCTGCCATCAATTCACACCCTAGCTGAGCGGCTGAGCCTGGTGTCTATGGTGTTGCAGAGTGAAATGTCACATCATGGTCAGGAAGGCTGGCAGAACACAGCACTTAACTAGAACCCAGCTGGCCTTCCTTCACGCTTTTTTGAAGTTCGATGTCTGGCAAAAGTCACCTTCGTTATATTTATCAGGAGTAGGCACACAAGTTGTATAATTTACTTGGGTCAACAGCAGAACACAGCAAACACAGACTACAGCTGCCCAGCTCAGACCACCTGGGCAAGAAAGCTCATGGAGCCAGACCCAGCTCAAAGTATAAATACTACCTCTTGTATCAAGGGATAGTTGGCTACAGAAGGATTGGAAACAAGAGTTCTGTCAAGAACTGGAAGAGGACTGGTTTTGGGGTGGTTTGATTTACTGGAGCAGAACATTCAGTGACTAGCAGTATACAGGCTGGAAGGGCTACTCTGGTTTGAGATGGAAGGGGACAACTTATGCTTTCCAGTGTTTAAGTTCTGGTAGGACAACTTTAGATGGCCCGTGCTTTAGTGGCCCATTTCTCTGTAGTGAGTTCAGTCACTGCTTCTTAGTCAAACAGCACCCCCTATTTAATTTTAAATGCATTCAGCTTTGAAAAGAGTAACTCCTTCTGGGATCTGTACTCACCTTGTCCACATGCCAACCTGCAGCAATTTAATCAAAACTGAAAGCATGTGCCCATCATATTTATTTTGGAAAAAAAAAAAATCAGTTAAAATTCTGCATGAGCCATCTTGAAGTGAGCATACCTTGACCACATCGTATGTTTTAATCTATATGAATATGAGCATTCAGGACTCCTCTTTTTGATGCTTCCTACTGTTTTGAAGTTATGATTGCTATTGCTGACATTTTCTGTAAAAGGCAATTAGTCAAAACAGCAAACATTCAATTTTTGCACCCATAAGATAGAAAAAGAGGAGCTTGTAATTCATCAGCGTTTTCTTACAGGTTTTGCCTCATGCATGAGAAAGCTAAATACTGTTATGTCACACAAACACATTTGTCAGGAGAAACCAAAGAAAATAAATCCTCCTTTTGCTAAGACCACATAACATTACCTTGTAAAAAAAAAAAATCTTATTTATTTTTGTTTATTAAAATGGGGCCAAAGACCTGGTCTCTTGTGCAACTCAACAACTGTTTCTGTGCTGTCTTAAAAAGTATTTTGACTTGGTTCAAAGAAACATATGACCTTTTTCATGCCAGTGTTCAAAAGGATACAACACAGCACTTTGACACACTTCACCATTGGAAAACCACTGTATTATGACACCACAGAGGTTTAAAGCAGTGGGACATTTTCAGAGATAAAAGCAAGTGAAGCAGGGTTGCATGCACAGGTGATAAACCCTGCCATCCTTTTGCTTCCTGTAGAGGTACTTCAATTTACAGTGATGTGAAGGGTAGACTTTGCACCATTTTGCACATGGCATGAATGTACTGGTACATTTTCACCTGATTCACTTGTGTAAGTAATGAAATGTTTAACTAATAAAACAGGGATTTGTGTATTCCCCTCCCCTCTATGCAACTCTTTTCTCTAGCTTCTGTAGGAACATGTTTAAGAATCAAGAGTTATTTTCCAAAGGATGCATTTTTAATTCCTCAGGTTTATCCTGTCAAAAATCAGCAATATTTAATAGGCAACTCAGTACAAACTCATTAATGACAATCAGAAACATTGTCCTGTCTTTGAAAGATCATGGCACTTAATTTTCCATTTCGTATTTGTTTCTTCTTGCAGACTTCAGTCTTGGATACAGGCTGAACTACTTAGATTATCTACCAGCAGACAGTTTACATTGAGGTTTAGCTTTTGTAAACAACCAGCCCTCATTTTAGCAGCTTGCCCATTTGAGACGACTGCAAAGTGGGGATGAAGTACTTTTAGGATCTCTTCAATGTAGCCATGGAACAGAAAGCAGTTTCAGCATATGTGATAACTGAATCCTCAGTGTTCTAGTGAAAATAGTACAATTAGCTCTGGGTAGTGAGGGACAGTCCTGGATCTAATCCCAGATGTGAAGAGGCAAGTGCAGTGGCATGGCTTGGCAGAAGCAAGCATCCCTGCAGAAATGGAGACACACCCAGTCATTTGCCCTCATCTTCCTCCACTTCTGCAGCCCAAGACACAGGCTGAAGAAATCCTCTGTTAGATCTATTCCAACTGAAGAGGCTTGAGCAGCTCAGTCAGCTCTTTGTGGCACCTCTCTGCAGGGCACAGGTCTTAACAATCTGCATGCTCCGAATCCCATGTCTTTCATCTTTATTCTTCCAGTACTCCTTCCCACTGCCACATAGTCTGCCCCAAGTGTGTCTGCATTTTTGGAACCCCTACAGCCCATGTTAATTAGAATGTAAATAACTCTGAGGTGTATTTTCAGGGGTAACGTCCTCTTAAATGTGCGAGTTAAATGGATGCCAATTTATTAATAAAACTTTACTTTCAATTTTAAGAATATACCCACCAACATAGGTAGGAGTTACAAGTTTTGATAGCCTCAATTGCATCTGTAGATAGCTAAAACTTTACTTAGTATGTATGTGACAAACATTGGTAAATAGTTTGACACAGTATCACTAGCACACACAATTGAGCAACATATGAGTAAAAAAGAGCCAATGTGCAACTTTTAGCAAATAAAAGTATTCCTAGAGATGCTATGTCTAGGTCTCACAATGATTCATCCACCAATCTTAAGCAGCACTAAAACAAAATACCAGGAAAAATAGTAAATACATAAATCCCAACCAGGCTTGGATATTTCTTTGGAATGTATTCCAGACATGTACTGATATGGAGCTTAGTACAAAAATGTACAGCCTGAGTTATCCAAAAGCCAGAGCTAACTCACCTACTAGTTCCCCAGCCTTTAAAAACACAACTAGGAGTTGCTTCTTCACAGTCCTGTTTACAAATGAAAATTCTGCTAACAGTAAGGTTCAACATTACCTGACTGACAAACATGAGAAGGAAGTTGGCCGTTAGCTTGCTTATCTTTGGACAGCATGACGGGTTTCAGCTGATGTGACAATATCATTTCATTCAATTTTTGCTGCAATGCTAAGTAGTCTTCAGATAATTTTGATATCTGAAAAATATAACACAGGATTTTACATTATTATATAAATAAGTATACATGTCCCAAGGTAATCAAATGTAAAATTGTGGACTATAGAATGAATTTAAAAGGTATTTCTCCACCTACTGCAGTGTAGGCCCCTACCACATTTACCTCCCCATTCCCTTAAAAAAGAAGAAACAGACAAAATAAAACATGCAGCCCAGTCCTGAAGCTACTTCATGTTTGTTTACACGTGTGAGCAGACAGTGCCTTGATGATGCAAAATAGGTTCTACAGCTGTAGGCATACTTCTCTGCATGTGTGTGATTCCTTGACATTGGCACGCCACTTTTAGTTTCAGCTATAGACATTTCACAAGTTTACTAAATTAAGAGTCTTGCTTGGTAAATGCACATTTCAACAAAGGCAAAGTTTTTGCATTTAAGCTAAACCAGGTTAAAACTAACACCATTTTTATCAGTGCTCTAATTTTGTCTTTCCGTCCTTCCCAAAAAGAGAAGCCCAAAACACACATTTTTATAGAACACTCATTAAAAAATTTCAGTCTTAGTTTAGGGAGCAAAACCTTGATGCCACTGAAGCCAGGAAAATAACTGCCATTCTGTCATTGCTCAGAGTATTATGCTCAACATACATAGCATATAGGCTTCTTACCTGCCGCGAAAAGGCTGCCAAATCACAAGCCTCTTTCTCTGAACCTCCCTTCAGTATCTTAGGGTCTTCAACCTCCGTATCAGTGCTTTCCCTATCTTTTGTTGTTTGGGGATCATTATTTTGAACATGTACAGCATCTGTTGGCTCCTTTATGATTTTCTCTTGACTTTTACAAGGTAGTTTCCCTTCTTTCCTGAGTTGTCCCCTCCTTCTGTAACCCCGGTAACTGCTCTGAATAACTACTGCTGCCTTCTCTTTGTCTTCTGAACCTTGTTTTTCTACCTCAACTTGTTTCCCTGAGCCTCTTAGTGACTCTTTTCTTATAATTCCTTCACATTCTGTAGGCATCATTACTTCATGTTTCAGGTGATTTCTTTCAACATCCCTGTCAGTCCTGGGCTGGACCACAGCAGATTCTTGATTTTGGCCATCTGCACTGAGTTTGTCTTGATTATCTTGCTCTTTCTGGGGACTAGGTTCAGCTATGATTTTGACAGAAGATTTGCTGGACAACTCTTCCCAAGAGGCCTGTTCTTCACCTTCACTAACATGTTCTAATGCAAGGTTCTGCTTCACAGAAGCTTTCTTTCCTTCAGTAGATGATTTTTGTTGCTTCTGTAGATTACTTGTGTCACTGTACCCAGAGCACTTGCTGTCAGTAACAGCATCAGCTTCATCTTGAGTCTCATCGTTCGCTGCTTCTTCCAGTATATCATTTTGAGCTGGCTGCAGTTGTGCTTCAAGGAATTCCACAGCAGATAATTCCTCCTCTGCTATTTTTCTGCACTGCTCCTTTATATTTTTACGGACTCTGTAGCCTCTGTAATTGCTCTGAACAATGACAGCTGCTTCTTCTTCTGTTTTAGGAAGGGCACATTTCACTCCAGCTGGACTTGCCTCACTCTCTTGAAGTTCTTCATCCTTTTCCTGTTTGCTAACAGATGCTTCATTTTCAGTTTGTTTCTTTCTAAGCGATTCCCTGAATGGAATAGTTTTGGGAAAAAATTATAGCTGAAGGAGATGAAGGATAGTGACAATTTTACAACTACCTTTAGTGGTGTTTGTGTACTAAATGGCAATCTGACACATTGCAACGTGGGAAAGATTTAGTGCATATAGTTGGAATTAAAGACAGCGAACCAATCTTTGTCTTTCTGATTATTATTATTTATTCGCTACTAACATTAAAAACCTCCACATAATGTACATTATCTCTGCATACATATCTAGAATAATCCTAATTTGCTTCACTTTTATCTTACATTGCTGTTCTTCAGCAGTGTAGTTACTGAAAAGGGACACATTTGAGTGACATAAGAAAAAATAATACTACCTCCTCTTTTCAAAGGTCTTCCTCTCCTTATATCCCCTGTAGTGAGACTGAACTGTTATTGCTGCTTTGTTTCTTGTCTCAGTTAGTTCTTTTCTCTTCTTCCTGAGTAAGTATCCTCTGGCAACTGATACAAATTATAATATAAAACGACCTTAGGCAACAAGCAATGGGTGTCCCACACATTTCAGAGTCAAATGATAAATGCATTAGACAAAAAACAGTAAGGAAATACGGATCGGGGTGGTTATTATGATTATATTTCATCTGAAATTATTCTGTCCCACAAAACTTTTTTCAGATTTCAGAAAGCTGTACCCATTCTACATGAGGATAAAACCAAGCTCTTTCTTCATATGTTCTTGGACTAAAGAAAATACAGGAAGATGCAGAATGAAGTAGAAGCACAGTGCTGTAGAAGTGCCTCTAGAACACAGTGCTCTCAGCTTCATGTACCTGCTTTGCCTGATTCAGGCAATTGCTTTGACCCAGTCTTTCATTTCCCTGGGAAACGCCTGATTAACAAGCTATAGAGATTACCAGGCTCTCTTCTGTCACAGGCTTGGAATTAGTTGAATATTCAATAGATCAGAATAAACCTGAAAATTTTATAGCTCAGCGGTTACAGAAGACTTAGCTCATGCTCCTTGTGCAAAGACTCATTATTCAAAAGAAAAAAAATCAGCATGAAAGATGTGCTAAACTCCACAGTAACCAGGTGCACTGTGGCAAGGGTACCTGCTCCTATGCTTTGTGGGTGGTACAAGTTCAAGTTTCTGGTCTGAACCAGGATTAATAAGGACTCAAACATGGGTCTTCCCTGAGACATGTAGGCGCTGACTAGTCAGTAGGAGGCTTGATGCAGTTGCTGGCACATAGGTATCTAGTGCCATCTGAAGTGCTCCAGGATAGCCAAGGCGTCTACATGGACCTGGCAGAGAGAACAAGACAGACAGTACTTTCTGGAGAGAGAAAGTTGGGTATACCACATGAAATAAAGCCAGAGGCCAGGCAAGATAACCTAGGGCATCTCAAATGACACTAGATAACAACATGGGGGCAAATGAGCTGAGCATTTCGTAGTTTTGAGTAAAATGAATCAAACTCTAGGCTCTGCTGACTGTAAGGGGAGTTTAGACACCTAGGTCACTTTCAGATATCTACACTGAGGTGTCTTAATCAGATACTGAATTGCATTCAGAATGTTGTTTCAAAAATTCCTGAACTTGCAAATAATTTCCTAAGGGGAACTGGCACAGTCTTCACAGTGCTGTGATATGGACAATTCTGCAGTTCCAGGGATTCAGCACAAATCCACTAATCGCTGAGAAAATAAAAAGAACACAGTATTTTATTAAAATATTTTTGTTGAACTCTAATTCCAAATGCAGTACCAAGACTATGGGGATAGAGGATTCAGGTGATTTAAATACCCTGATGAGATGGTAGATATGGGAGCTCTTAGTCCAACTCTGCTGAGAGTGTTTTGCATCACAGGAAAAGGTCAAGCTCACTTAAGAATGGAAAGGGAGCATAAGCAGTCTATTCTAACATACAACCTGGTGCTAGGTTCTATTTGCTTTAGCATTCCATACTCGTAGTTTAGATCAGCTTGGACTCCACTAGATGCAGCAGGTCAGTGTAAGAAGCACTGTATAAAAGGGATATAAATTACATCTTGATAATTGGATATAGGGCAAAGGAACCCAAATAATTATTGGAAGTGGTACAATTGTTTTTTTATACTGCAGTCTGACAGGGCCTTAGAAAAGAGCAAATTGTAAAGCACTTGCAGTACTTCTAGAGTTTCTTGGACTTCTGAGCCAATCCTCATTCCATTTCCATACAAAAGCAACTCAAAAGAGGTTATTTTGAAAAAAATTAAGTTACATTGTCAATGGACATGCCAATATAAGCTAAGTCTGTCCTTTTTAGACTTATTCTGGTTCACATTTCAAGTTTTCTGAGAACTTTGTTATGAGATAGCAGCTGTCTAAGCTTTGTTTTCAAACTGGAAGAGGAATTTTGTATTGCTTTAGAAATAAATGGGGGGAAAAAAGACTGAGAGAGCTAAGTAAAAATGGACTTCCATTTTGTTCTGGCTTCTCGTGCACTGAAAAAAGTTGAAACTGCCCACAGGATGGAGAAGGTAGACAAGAAGAAACATTGGGGAGATCAACAGAGAAAAGTGGTAAATTCATACTTTTGCATTTGCTAAATATCCTAATATAACCGACAACTTTCAGACGTGTATTTTTGGCACATCACTGGATTTTATTCTGGTTTTAAGATTGTTTTCTACACTGATGAAGTTATACCAACTGCAATGAAGTGCTCTTTTCAGTATGCACTAACATTGGCTCAGTGGAATTAACAGATGCATTTGACAATGATTAGAACCAGCACTGGTGTTGGTATACACTCATGAAAGCATATCTGAGATAGTTTGAATCTAGATAGTTTGGGTACTGGCAGAACTACCTTATATGTGAGATTACCACCTTTGTAATTACTGAAAGTGCTGTGCAGATTTGTGCCAGACCTGTTTTCAGACCTGTCCCTCTCTAGTGGTACTGCTGCTGATTTCAGAGCTGCCTGGACTACATCTGGCTCGGGGACATCTCTGCAGAGATGGAGGAGACAGAAAGAAACACAGGGAGGAAAAAGGGATGCATACATCTGGATTTCTGCAGAAGAGAAGGAATATTTTGCTGGGTTGGATTGAGCAATGTCAGAAAAGAATCAGAGTGAAATTACAGGTCATAGTCTTCTCAAACATAATTATTACTGATATGTAACAAAACCTATTCCTAATAAATAACATGCACATGCACATTATATGCAGACAATGTCATATGGGGCTTCAACAATACCAACTGTAATACTCAGACATATCAGACTAGGAGAGAAAAAGCTTGCTATGGCATTTAACTACCCACTTCACAGCTGTGGAAAGTGACTCTAAGCCACTTTGAGGTACAGGTAACCAAATACACTGACCCATTTCAACCACTATATATAGATATCTAATAGATAAATTATACCTTAGAAAGGGTAAATGACCATAGGCAGTGTAGCTAGGTAACACCACAGAATCTAGATCAACATGTGTATGGATAGCACATTAGAAGTCATGAAAGCAAACAATTCTTACTTGCTTGAAGTCTAGTAATATATTCTTCCACTTTTTTATTATGTTTTGCATTTGCGTATTCTTTACGAGCAACAAAACCCCTGTAAGCTGAAAAGAGATGTCAAAATTTAAATAATCCATTAGGTACACAAAAGGCTGTAAGAATAAAAAAATTCTGGAAGAAAATACTGACATCCATTAAAATATTCATAAATATTTTGCAGGCTTTCGCTTTCAAAAACAATGGCAAACAAGCACAAGCAGCAAATCTACACAAAAACTATGTTTTCTGGTGTGTAAAGTTATTATGAATGAAATTAATACAAAACACAAGAGAATCAGAATGTAGTATAAGATGATGTTTGAAATGTATTAAAAATTTCAGCTGATGTCTCCATCAACAGAGTAATTGGCCTTATTATCTAGGCCAGTTAAAACATTTTATTTTCATTATTATTTCATACAACCTTGTCAGAGCATGTCAGAATATTATTACTAACTATCATCTGTGCAATCACATCCTTACATTGTTAAAATTGCCTTTTAAATATAACATTGATAAACGTAACTTCAGTAAAGAGATTGTCATATACTGGTTAAAAGAAATTTTCCTTTGTAAGAACAGACAGCAACATGTCTAAGATATTTTGTCAAATGTAACAGCAAGAAAACAGCAAAATCTACATCCAGCTTGCACTTCCATCTATCAACTGTACACATGCACTAGCTTTAAGCAAAATGTTAAATGTTTTAAAGCTATTACCTGACTGTATTTTAATAGCACTTTGTTCCCTTTGTTCCTTTATCTTTTTGTATCTCCTTGAACCCAGCCACCCTCTGACACAAGCTTGAATCAAAATAATCATGTCAACTGTCTCCTTCCGCATTAGATTTAGCTGCTCCACATGATAGTATTTGAGGAATACCTTAAAAAGAGTAGGCAGACAAGTAGAAGTTTTAGTTGCCCACCCAGACCCTTTATATGCTCAATCTGTTTAACATCAACAAGAGTTACAGGCTGTTTTCAAATGATGAACAGACTCTTTAGCTGTAGTAGCTACATTTGATAGCATTTTGACTGTTTAGGGTATTAAGTTTACCTTACTCTCCCTTTCAACATCTTTTGTCAGTTCCTGCTTATTTATTCTTTCATGGGAAGGTGTTTTAAAGTCCCAATGCAAAACTTCAGTCCGTCACTATAAATCTGTTTTCAAAACTATGAGGCTGACGTTTTGCTAACCGCACAAATCTGATGTGTTACATAAACATGATCCAAATCTGGAACCTTCAACCTCCCTGCTTTCCAATTTTAAATCTAAGGCATTGTTTATTTACTAAATTGCTTTTATCAAGCATGAAGCTCATATAACCCCTGAAAAAGCAGTCCAGCACAAGGGATACAAACACATTCTTGGTGTGTATTAGGATAAAATAAACCGTAGAAAGAGCTTGTGCAATTAAGACAATAATTATGCTTATTTTGCAGAATCCCCCCAATCTTGATCACTTGGTACAGATACAGGTTAACCCTAATTAAACTAAACGTAAGCTATAGATCTCATCGCAAGATATGCTTCCTTTGGCTGCATGTTGTCCATTAACCTCACTAAGACAGCAGAGGGAAAGAAAGGTTGAGGAGGAGGTAACTTCATGGCTTCTGTCCCACCTAACCAGGAAGACATCTCAGAAGAAGAACAGTTGTTTCTTCTACACTGAGGTAATTTCAAATAGTTTAGGATCCATCTTTCTCTCTATCCATATCCTTCCTGGGCAATTCTGTTACACTAGCAGATCAAGACACTTGGTGCAGTACTTGTCTGATGCTTCTTTTCTCTGGCAGACCTTCTGAGATCTGTCAACTGGGGGGTGGGGGGGGTGAGCACATTGGGAAGGCTAGTGACTAGAACCAAAAGCAGGAATATGGGAACAGACATACGGTCCTCTTGTAATTAAGTCTTCTCCCCACTTCACATATATTGAATCATCCTGTTATCTCTTCCCCCAGTGCTCAAAGTCTGCCACAGAGTCTCAGGCTGGAAAGACAAAACCTTTTCCTCTCCCTTTGTGAGTCTGATTGCCTCATGGAAGAAGTATAACTTATTTTCCTTAAGGAAGTTTGGAATAAGTTCACTGGGATCCTTACTACCACATTTTTTGAAAGAAAATGCAAGCAGTGTTGTTGTCACAGGCTGCTTTGCACTGTGGCCTCACTAAACCTCATCTGAACTTTTGCACTTTACAGGGTCAGAACTTCAGCCAGCTATCAGGGAACAGTATCCAGCAAAGCATATTTTTTTAAAAACAATAGAGACCAACAGCTACTCAAACCAAATGGATGAGAAAACAAATTACTTAATAAGTTAACAATGACATACTGCAATAATGCAGATACAGTATGTTAAAAAATTACTTTAGTTTTTCCAAGAACCCAGTTGTCAAGGTGGGCTTTTTCCAAGATGGCAGCACAGGTTTCCGGGCTGACTGGAGGATCATCGTTTGTTTTGTAACAGATGAGGTAATACCTAAAGACAAATATATGATTCTTTATTCCATTAATAGTGAGCAATAGATGCAAACACATTTAAACCATTCATTTAAATAATAAAAACAGTTGCATGAAAGAAAACATAGCACAAAAAAACAAAGCATCATATGAAAGAAATTACTATGATTTATATGCAGTACTGAGAAACTCAATCAAAAGTGGATGAGTGACATATTGCACACCCTGGAGGATTGTTTAATTCTATATCAACACCAGAAGGCTTTTAAAAACTATGTAACCCAAGTAGAGCTGTGCACCAGTTCTTTGCTGCTCTGGCTCTCTGTGTTCTGTGAAAGTGATTTCAGTGGCAAAATAAAAATATTTTTAACAGCTTTTCTGCCTAAATTATCTTATTTCATATCTAGAAATGTCATGAAAATTTAGTACCTTATCTCATATGCTAGACCATCCTTTGGGATAGTTAGCATGATGTGAAATGCATCCCAGCTCTTATTACCTCCTTGGATTCAGCTTTGCATATCCTTCTGGAACATATATGTGCCATTATGACATATCATACATAAGCATTTAATCTGGCAAACTCATTACTTAGAATTAATTCTGACTAGGAAAAGAGGTCAGAATGCTCACACATTAAAAATTACCCGTAATGTACCAGCTCAGCTGCTGAGTAGGAAAGTTCTTGTGTGTTCCAGGACTTTCCAAAATGCTTCATAACAAAATGAACCATACCTATCTTATTGTTTTTTTGTTTTTGTTTTTGATTTTGGTTTTTTAATTCAGGAAAATTACACAAATTATGTGTGCTCCATGATAGTACATTCTGCTTTTTTTCTTGTTACTTAGCCTCTATACACAAAGCTTGGGTTGTACCAGCTTTAAATAACAGTAACAATTTCCTCATGGAATAACAAAAAAAGAGACAATGTTGATTCCTGCATTATCACCAAAACCTACAGCTCCTTTTTATTTCCTTTTACTACACAATTAACTGGCTTATTTTTATTCTAACAGAATAATTTTATATTAATAATTATCCCAGGTCTACCTGTAACTCGCAACTATTAAGAAAAAAAAACGACAAGGAGATAGATACTTAATAAAAATCCCTTTGTGTCATGAGGGCCACATCCTCAGTGCTGGAGATCTGCACAGCCTCACTGTAATCAGGAGAACACTCTCTGGAGAGCTACCCTGTTATGTTCACTGCTTTCTTCTCTTTTACCTGAACAATAAAATTTTTTATAATGAGCAGTGACCAAAAGTCACGCACGTCTTGACGCAGTGATAACTACCTTTTCTCATGCTGTACTCTTCCAAAACAGTTAACAGTCCCAGGATTATTCTTTCCAGAAACAGTTTTATAAAAACATCATTTTGTTCTTCCTCTCTTTCCTTGTGCAACTGCAGCACTCTGCTGCTAGCTCTCTGTTTCTAGTGCACTACTAGTTTTAAGTGCTTCTGTCTGAATGAGTGTTGCTTGCTTCTTCCCAGTTTTGATCTCCATTCCACCAATCTCAGTTCTGATTGAGGCAATACTCAGGGTCTTTATTTGTAAGAGAAATACAGATTAAGTGCTCAGAATTATTTTTTTGGGGTGGAGGAAGAAGAGATAGTTAAAGGAATTATAAAATCATACTGAGTTCACTGCTCTTCTTAACAAGTGACTAATACTTAGAAATTGTATTTAAAAAAACCTGTATGCACTTAATGAACTTCTCAGTCCTAGATTAGCAATACCAAATTATCATCCATCCTGCACAAAGCAGATGCTGCACAGTGCTGAATGTCTGGAGCTAGAGAAACCGTAGGGCTCCTTGGATGCTATTGCTCCAAATTCTTGGCTGTAATTTGAAGTACTGAGTTTCTAAACCTCAAGTCTTTGAAGAAAACTTTCATATTATAAGCAAGACAATTTTTATCCAAATGTGCAGGGAGCCTGAAACAATCATCCTGAGCGGCATCATCTTCCCCTACCAATCCAAAACAGGTCACTAATCTTGTGCCTGAACTACACTTTGCCATCCAGTCTATAATCTTCTTTGTCATAGGAATGTCTGTGTTTTTTTCTGTAAAGACCATGCCAAAGACACAGTTGATACTTAGCAAACACTGGCAGCAATAATAGGAGAGGAAAAGGCTTCTTCACATCAATGTTACCGTTTTATGAAGTTAGCGAAGAGTATACGGTGTGAATAACCCTGTCTTCGAATTCTTGCTGTCTCCAGAATTCCCGTGTAGCGCAGCTGAACCAACACTTTTTCTTTATCAAACTTTTTTGCCTGACGGTCATTGTTTGGCTTGATGCACCTGACAAAATGAGGCTGGCCAACAACCATTTTGGATAACAAATCCATCAGAGAATACTGCAAGAAAGTAACAAGATATCTGTCACCAGGATATTTATAAAACTTGTAAAGAGCTCCATGTGTAGGTGAAATTTTATTTCATATGATCAGAATCACATCCAAACCCATTTACCAGTAAGTTGGTACTTTAATAGTAGATGACCCAACAACAATTCTAGCTTTGATAAGATCTCTAAATTACTAGTGTATGCTACTTGAGAGAAACAGTGATTGAAAATGGATGTACCAAATTCCACTCAGAACATTCTCACAAACTACCATAACGTCTAACATATGATAGAAACTCTCCTTATACTTATTTGCTTCTCTTGGAACCTTGCTAGGTAATTATAGCCCACTTTTTTTCTGTTGTCACGTATTTGAAGATCCTTACTCATTCAGAGAGTAAATCATCTGTCTACAGATGGGCAGTGGAAGAGCAGCAAGCCAGTAAATATTGCCATCCCTTCATTGGAGGAAACTAAGGCCACCCCAGAAAAGGAGCTGCTCAAACTGCTCTGAGCTAGCACATCCTGTTTATTGTACAGGCTGATGGTGATACTATAGCTGCCCTGCCAAGAGGAAACTTTTCAGGACAACAAAACTAGAAGTACACAAAATCACAATTTCAAAGTTGCACTTTTCCTTCTTCACCAGGATACCAGGCTAGCAGAGGGGATGCAGTCTGTAGCTCCCCATGCCAACTGAGGTAAATCTGGCTGTAAACAACCTTGACTGTTTTTTTTTTTGTAAAATTGCTTCATGGGAGGATTGTATTATAACACAAATGAAGAGGCTTATTCCTCAAGATTCAACCTGACTCAACAGAATGAGGCAACCAGGAGGTAATGCAGTTCAGCAGTAGTTTGGATACGGGAAACTAGTGTAGGACGTCAAGAGCCATATGTTTCCTATTAAAATGTGCAATTCCATTCTGGACAGACGCTGCACCATGCAGCAAAATGCTTAATTAGCTTCAGCACTAGTGTGCCAATCTAACACAAACAAGTAGGACACGCTAATGGATATTTTTTTTTTTTCCATTCAGTCTGAGGTGGCAGATGCTTTTCTCAATCACCCATAGATTTCTGTGTATGAGTAAACCAGTGGGGCTGAAGCTGAATCTTCATTTAAGAGCATTAGCTAGCATGATCTGAGCAGGGATTTCCACTACAGAAAATAATAACAGAAAAGTGTAAATGTAAGTAATTCGTTTGCAGCCTCTGATGATAGATGTGCTGGTAATGCACTGAATCACAGACATCAGGTTTGAATGAGATTCAATAAATTTTTCCACCTAGAACTTAAAATACTATGCAGCTTTGGATCATCACGATACCTAGGTTGAAATTATCCTTCACAGTCCACAAAGCTGTGCAACTGTATCTACTAAACAGAGATCTTGCTTCTTACTTTTCTCTGTCATAAACATAAATAAACGCTCATGGGTCATGAACATCACCTCAGCCATCTTAAGTTTTTGCTGGGAGAGATGACTAAATAAGAGTTGGAAATTCTAGGCTGAGCCCAGGTGAACCAACTCTGTGCACACTTGAAGGAAAGGATGCTCTTCACAGCTATTTTCTATTGCAGGACCAAGAGCACAGCCAGTGCTTAGTAAGGTCAAGAGCACTGCTGAAAGAGCCACAAGGATGGGACTCAGGACAGCCTCTGAGCAGTGACCATCAAGAGCTTTTTCTGGAGCTCCTGCTTCTAATTAACTTTGCCCCCTTGCTTCTTAAAATCTTAAAGAAACACTATGCCACTAATGTCCAACCTCTATCTCCCCTGGTGGAGAAACAAGCAAGTGAAAGATTAGTATCAATCATCATCCATCATCATGACAGAAATGTGGCTGTGTAATCAAGTACAATTAAAGATGAAACATCACAATCTTCTCTAGATATTTGTACTGCACAGACCACTGCATCATATATGCAGTTCACAAACTCTTAAATGGATCACTGTTGACTCTAAGTCAACAATGCATTTCAAAAGGTGAAAGAATAAACATTCATTCTACTCTAGAAAAAAAATTATTAAAAGATCTTGTATCTTACTCTAAAATAAGAAGCGACTGTCTGTGTTTTCATGCTGGTTGTCTCTCTTGGATGATGTCCCGTATCTCCTGTTTCATTCTATAAAAACGAAGAAAGAAAATGACACTTCTTATCTCTGCTAAGCCTCCAGTGCCTTTACCAATGCCATAATAAAGCACCCCTCAGAGAACATCATTAATAAAAAAAAAGTACTCTAAACAGAAAAAGTTACAGCATGATCACTAGCACAAATCAGTTACACCAGTACATTACGTTACTTTGCTACACATACACAAACATTCACACACAGAGGACACAATTTGATGACAGAGCATCTAAATAACTGCCACAAATAACCTGACAATGTCTGAGGTCCTGTCTGTTATTTCATCACTACTACTTAGACAACTGGTAGTTCTCTGAGGAACTTGACTATACTCCACACCAATATTTTAATTTCTCTTTTTGCTACAATACAGCTAGGAAATAATACATTTTTTTCCCCTGAATTTGTTATAAAGCTATAGCCAGAAAGAAGGGAAATGTTAGGTTTTTACCTCACGGAAGGAATATGAATTGCACAACACAAAGATATCCAGCTAAACAGAAAAGAAAATAGGAGAGGGAGAAAAACCAAGGAAGGGGTTACTTGCTTACTTTTAGTACCAATAACAGTATTGCCTTTCTAGTTTAAATTAGGGTTCAATGCAGAATCACAAAATCAGTTTTATTACCTTTGTATGACTGATGGATTTCTGGGGGGTCCACATTTGGTAACTGATTGTAGTTTTGCTTTTAGTGTGTGCCAAGTTACCTATGGAAGATGAAAGAAGGCAACCTACCAAAATGCTTACATCTCATCTAAACTGAAAACTATGCTGAACCACCTTATTCATGCTCGCAGTGTAGCCATATGATTATTATAAAGGTTGTTGACGTTTTTGCAGTATGTCCTTGTTTCCCACTTCACCTTTGGCATGGAACAAACTCTGAAGAAGTTGCATTAAGTCAGAACATGGGCTGAATTTTCCTCCTTCAGCACTTATGTCACCTACTAGAGCAAAAAAATAAACAAATACTGCTGCAGAAGGTAAGAAAGATATATCTTAGAGCATCCATGTGGCTTTACCCTAAGGATGTTATTGTACTATTCTAGCTCAAAAAAAAAGTGCCAGCACCCTTCTCTGGCCCTAAGGGCAAGTGACATAGTATGACTCAGGTCTATACAGCTAAACTATATACTTCACTACTTTTTTAAGCTCCTGGTAAAAATAAGGTTGTATCTTTCCATAGAGCTTGTTGGAAACGATTGCTGGCCTGTGCTTTCCCTTGCAGTGTGACTGGGTATTTCTGGGAGGCTGCTAGCTGACATGGTCCACAACTGTCCCAGGGAGGCACACTAACAATTAATCAGAATGGGCAATCCTGTGGGATTGTTTCAGCTATTGTTCATCTGTTTGGTTTACTAGCATACACATAGTCTTAAGATTCTAACCTTGGAATTCTTAATCAAGTAATACCTGTATTATGATGAATTGAAGGACTAGAAGTATTAGAAGTACTAGAAATATTAGGGAGTGTGAAAGGGAAATTGATTGGTGGAGTAGCACCTTGGCACTCATGAAGCAACATGAGCAAATGGAGGCTCCAAACAAGGCAGGCAATCCCTCACCCTCTTGCTACCAGGCAGAAGGAGGGGAGGGACCTAAGAGATGGGGGAGGCTGGAAACAGGTCCCTGGTCACAGAGGCAGGAGAATCCTCTCCTGACCTCCCTCACCCTCCATGGTGTCCCTTCACAATAGATTCGGGGCCTTGGAACTTTTGAATGAAGAAGAGAAGGAGGAAGAAAATGAGACAAACAAGGAGGAAGTCCAAGGTCCACAAAGGCTGGGTCATTCTGGACCAGGTATTAAAATCAGTTCTAAAAAGAACCCCACAAGAGTCATTGTAGTGGGTGACTCCATTCTGAGGGGTGTCGAAGGTGTCGAAGGCCCAATATGCAGACCAGACCCATTTCATAGGGAAGTCTGCTGCCTCCCTAAGGCCCGTGTCAAGGACCTCACGGCAAAACTCCCTGCTCTAGCGAGAACCAAGGACTACTAGCCTCTCTTGGTTTTCCAGATAGGTAGCAACAACATTACCAGGAGAAGTCCTAAAGCAATGAAGAGAGATTTCAGGTCCTTGGGGAAACCGATTAAGGGGATGGGGGCACAAATTGTGTTCTCCTCCATCCCTTCAGTTTTGGGGATGGATGAAAGAGAATACCAGAGAACTCAACAGATGAACTTGTGGCTCTAATACTGGTGTTACTGTGAGGGCTTCAGATTTTTCAATCATGAGTTAGTATACAGAAGACTAGACCTTCTGGCATCAGATGGGATGCAGCTGTCCCAGAGGGGGAAGGGGATGTTGGGGCAGGAGTTAGCTGGGCTCATTTACAGAGCTTTAAATTAGATTTGAAGGGGGAAGGGGGCAAAACATCGGCCCATCTGAAGTGCATGTATACCAGTGCACACAGCATGGGTAACAAACAGGAGGAGCTTGAAGCAATGATGAAACAGGAAACTTATAATGTAGTGGCTATTACAGAAACATGGTGAGATGTCTCCCATGACTGGAGTGCACCAGTTGATGGCTACAAGCTCTTCAGGAGGGATAGGCAAGGAAGGAGAGGTGATGGGGTGGTGTTGTATGTTAGGGACTGTTATGATTGCTTCGAGTACAAGTGTAGTGAAGACAGGGTGGAGTGTCTTTACGTTAGAATCAGGGGGAAGGCCAACAGGGCAGATGTTGTAGTAGGAGTCTACTATAGGCCACCCACCCAGGACAGAGAGATGGATGAAATACTCTGTAGGCATTTAGAAATCTAACAATTGATTGCCCTTGTTCTTGTGAGAGACTTTAACTTCCCAGACATCAGCTGGAAATACAACACAGCAGAGCGGGACCAGTCCCGGAGATTCCTGGAATGTGTGGCAGATAATTTCCTGACACAGCTGGTGAGTGAACCAACAGGAGAAGGTGCCCTGCTGGATCTCCTCTTTGTGAACAGAGAAGGACTGGTGGATGATGTGACGGTTGGAGGCTGACTAGGGCACAGCGATCATGGAGTAATCGAGTTCTCTATTCTTAGAAAGGCCAGGAGAGGGAAAAGCAGAACTGACATCCTGGACTTCCAAAGGGCTGACTTTGTCTTGTTTGGGCACCTGCTTGACAGGATCCCTTGGGAGATGGTCCTGAAGAGTACAGGGGTCCAGGAAGGCTGGGCACTCTTCAAGAAGAAAGTGTTAATGGCTCAAGAGCAGGCAGTCCCCAGGTGCTGTAAGAGAAGTTGTTGACAGAGAAGACCATCCCGGCTAAACAGGGAGCTTTGGCTGCAACTCAGGGAGAAAAGGAGAGTTTACAGCTTTTGGAAGAAGGGGCTAGCCACTATGATTACAAAGATGCTGTGAGGCTATGCAGGGAGGAAATCAGGAGGTTTAAAGCCCAGCTGGAAATTAATCTGCCTTCAGCAAACAAGGACAACAAGAAATGTTTCTGTAAGTATGTGAGCTGCAAAAGAAAGACCAGAGAGAGCCTCCATCGCCTGCTAGATGCAGGAGGAAACATGGTAACAAGTGATGAGGAAAAGGCTGAGGTGCTTAATGCCTTCTTTGCCTCAGTCTTTAATAGCAAGACTAGTTGTGCTGAGGGAATCCAGCCTCCTCAGCCAGAAGACAGAGACTGGGAGAATGACCCCCCACATTCCAGGAGGAGACAGTCAGTGACCTGCTGCATCACACAGACACACACAAGTCTATGGGACCGGATGGGATACACCTGAGGGTGCTGAAGGAACTGGCTGGGGTGCTCGCTAAGCCACTTTCCATCATTTACAGCTGTCCTGGCTGACCGGGGAGGTCCCGACTGATTGGAAATTGGCCAAAGTGACGCCCATGTATAAGAAGGGTCAGAAGGATGATCCAGGAAATTACAGGCCTGTCAGCTTGACTTCGGTGCCCGAGAAGCTGATGGAGCAGCTCATCCTGAGTGCCATCACACAACACATGTGGGACAACCAGATGCTCAGGCCCAGTCAGCATGGGTTTGTGAAAGGCAGGTCCTGCTTGACAAACCTGATCTCCTTCTACAACAGGGCAACCTGCTTCTTGGATGAGGGAAAGGCTGTGGATGTTGTTTACCTTGACTTCAGTAAGGCATCTGATACCATTTCCCACAGAATTCTCCTGGCAAAACTGGCTACTCGTGACTTGGATGGGCACATGCTTCACTGAGTAAAAAACTGTCTGGATGGCCGGGCCCAGAGAGTTGTGGTGAACGGAGTTAAATCCAGTTGGCAGCCAGTCACAAGTGGTGTCCCCCAGGGCTGGGTTTTGCGGCCACTCCTGTTTAACATCTTTATTGATGATCTAGACGAGGGGATTGAGTGCCCCCTCAGTCAGTTTGCAGATGACAGCAAGCTGGGTGGGACTGTTGATCTGCTCGGGGGTAGGGAGGCTCTGCAGAGAGACCTGGACACGCTGGAGTGATTGGCTGAGGCCAACTGGAGGAGTTTCCATAAGGCCAAATGCCGGGGGCTGCCCTTGGGCCACAACAACCCCCAGCAGCGCTACAGGCTTGGGGAGGAGTGGCTGGAGAGCTGCCAGTCAGAGAGGGACCTGGGAGGGTTGACTGACAGCTGGCTGAACAGTACAAGAGGGAATGACCTCAAGTTGCACCAGGGAAGGTTTAGACTGGACATTAAGAAGCATTTATTTACAGAACGGGTTGTTAGGGATGGGCAGCCCAGGGAGGTGGTGGAGTCCCCATCCTTGGAGGTGTTTAAGATTAGGGCCGACATAGCACTGAGGGATCTGATGTAGTTGGGAACTGTCAGTGTTGGGTTGATGGTTGGACTGGATGATCTTCAAGGTCTTTTCCAACCTAGATGATTCTGTGTTTCTGTGTGGTGTATTCGACTGGTTTACACAGACACTGGTCTTCTAAAGGAATAATGAAAACTGCTGAGCTTTCCATCTTGTCACTCTATGTTGATAAAGCTCAACCACTGCTGCATGCTGCCCTTGCTTCTGCTAATATCATAAAACCTCTGGAATCTCACGCTCCACTGGGAGAGCCTGTAATCTCTGTGCTCAGCTACTATCAATAATAGGTGGGTAAGAGTTGGATAAATAGTGGCAAATATACAGCATGCCAAGATAATGCATCATGTATTATGTGATGATAGCAAGTGCTAATCCTCCGTTGGGTTTAGCTGAATATCACAGGGTGGGGGAAGGAAAGAGAGAGGATTACTCACACCTACTTTAGGCTATCTGAAAGTGAGGTATTACAGGATCCTCATTGTATTCAGTGGAGAGAGTCCTCCTTCAGAGGAGATTTATCCCATTCAAAGACAAACAACTGAGATAGGCAAGATGGGTCGGACTCTAAGTAAACCTCTACATTTCCGCTGGTTCTAGATTAATAACTTAGATCAGAAATCTAACTTTTAGTTGGCTATCACTGGATGGTTTGGGTCAGTTTCGAAAGGCTACACACAGTGTTTCGTAATATCTAACAAGGAAAAACTAACCTTCAGAGTTATCTTGCAAAACATTACCTAAGACTTGTGATCAGCTGGACCCTGACTTTGGCTCTACAGAAGTTATAGTTTAGTATCTTAACAGATATCAACAAGTTTAAAAGTTCAGGCAAGGACATTGAACTCAGTGTTTTCCCAGGAACAGACTTAAAATAGACCTTCAAAATCAAATTTTGCATTCCACCAGCCAAGCTCTTTTTGTGAAGAATAGAAGCTTTGCCAAAACCTCAGTTTCTGCAAGCTATGATAACATTTTAGAGAAATTTCCATCAGGCTCTTCCAATTTAGCTTTTCTGTTCTACTACATGTACATCTCCCATATAGCTGTACAATAAAGTAATGTTGTAAGGTACTTACTGTATGACATCAATGCCATCACACAGGGAGTAATACAACACAATAGAAAAGTGATTATGAGGAGACTTACCCATCATCCTATGGGCAGGTAGGACACTGCAAAGACCTGGTTCAACTAAGGTTCAATTTAGGAGTAATTTCTGTAGAGCCAGTCATATTCCTCCACCCCAACTTATGAACTCCCTGAGGAAAGGCTCACTACTAGGACCCCATCAGTTACCTACTGTAAAGGACTAAAAGACTGGGGAAATAAAGGAATGTCTCCTCACTCTTTGCAGCAGATGTTAGGCCCTGACCTTGGTTCTCTACTGCTTTAAAGAAAAATCGCACTGAGACAAAACAGGTAATTTATATATGCCCTGTCCAAAAAAGGCCTGTGACTTACCTGATCCTTTCTGTTCAGTCCTCAACTCAAGGGGTGCACTCCATTCCCTGTCTTGCTCCCCTACCCTGAAGAGAGGACCCTGAAAGAAGTCTCTACCACCTCCTTGGCATCTGACCAGACCAATCCCTCCCCTGCAGCTTGAGAAGTCTGGGGCTCCATTCTGTATAGATTCTAGGGTTGGAAAGTTAAGCCACAAAGTGTATAATGTCATCAACAAATGCTCATATGAAACCTAGCAGTGGTCATCACAAAGGCTAGAGAAAAATAAAATTACCACAGTAGCAATACCTGTTTTTGTAAGAGGATGGGTTGCCAACTGTCGCGTCAGATTGTTTTCAGATGATCGCAGTAGTAGCACAATATCAGCTGGCAGAGTATCTCTATTTTTGGCTAGGAATCCACTTGCATTATATAGAACCTGTTTAAAAAGTGCATTTATGCATAGTCTGGGATTTTGAAAAGTAATTATAAATTTAAGCACTCTGGCATGTGGCTTTTAATATACCAAGATACAAAAATAGTTTTTCAGCCATTAGGCTGTCTCTTGTTTACAGTCTTCCTTTTGATCATTGAAAGTTCTAACTTTTCAAACAGAGAACCATTGTGATGAAGATCACTAAAAACAAATCCATCATTCTAAAGTAGCTTGAGACATTAATTTTCCTTAATGCTGGTGTGGATTTATCACTAGGACAAGTGTACTGCAGTCCTCATTTACACAGTACATGTGTACATGCACAATTAGCAATGCACTTGCTTTCAACAACATCACACACGATTATCTCTATGACTGTACAATCTTTCTGTCCCATTCATATCACGCTGTACTGGACTCAGGACTCAGTATTAATTGTAGAGGAAGTCTGCAAAATCACAAATGGCATATTGGCAATTGAAATCTCTGTTGAAATTCCAGAAATGGTGTACCTAACTCAAAATGTACCTCCAGGGCTCTATCTTAATGATGCTGTAAAAGACCCACAAGAAAACATAGCCTGTGAAAGGTAGAAGATACTGGCATATTTAATTTAGAAAAAAACTTTACAAAACAAACCATTAAGAGTCTTAAATTACAAAAAAGGTTTGTAAAGAAAGATGAAATAAATTGTTCTCCAGTTCCACAGCAAATAGGACTAGGAGTAATGAACTTAAATCACAGAAATGGAGCTATAAGCTAGACAGTAGGAGCAACTTCCTAATGAAAAAGCTTGTTGGAAATTGGAAGGGGTTGATGGGGCACTGGTGGTATCCCCATCTTCAGTGGCTGGTATCAGGAATATTACAGGGAGAGCTGCCTCTCTGCTTCTCAGCAGTGAGGTATGCTATGCTGGTGAAGTGTAATTCAGCTGGAGATGAAATTCAGAGGAGTTACTGCAGGCCGCTTGTAACTGGGTGTCTTACACAAGTGGCAAGTTATTTTCCATCAGCTGAGGGGCAGTATGTTGCCTCCTTCGAGGCCATCTGTTCCACCACTGCACAGACCCAACATTGTTTCCTATGTGAGACAGCAATGCTCACTCCATACCCCTTTAAAAGAGCTCAGAAGGAGGTAGAAGCTCCTGCTTTCACAGGGCAAGGTTTGGGTGACCAGTGGCATCTTGCTCCTCCTGAGTTTGAAAACCATGTGCAGTAAGTCACCTGGTACAGGAGGGCAAGATTGCTCATTAAATGATGCAGAAAGCAGGGCCTGCACTATGTATCTGGCTTATGACAAAGTATAGAACTAATAAGTAAGGCTGATGGGTGTGTAGGAGGTAGGAGAAAGAATGGAGCTAGATCCTGATTTGAAGCAGTGGGAACAAGCATGGCACAGGACTTTGAGGAACTAGGGGGAAGAGCACTGAATTGCATTACATAATGGTTATTTTTTGGTTCTGCTATAATACAGTCAGTTCATTTACTTGGAGACATTTAAGAAAAATATATTTCTGCTCTTGCTTTTTTTTTGTGAGGGAAAATAACTTGCCAATTTACTTTTGATGTGTAAGGCAACGCCAAAATTTCCATGTCAGGCCTGAATATATGAAGGTTGAGAACCAACCCGGCTGACTCTTTCATTTCCTTCCAGTCCTACTCTTCCACAGACCCCAACTAATATCATTAGGTCTCTTACCTTTCCTGCATAATGGTAAATCCCAAAGGTTAGATCTACTCTTTTGGGTCTCCAAAAATATTTTGACTTCAAATTATCTTCAAATTTTTCTGAAAGGAAACACACAGCTTATCTTACTGGAGTTAATGTACAATAATTGTCTTCTGAAGCTGTATCCCTCTAAGGGTATTGCCTGACTTCTCAAACAATGCAGCAGCACGAAAACAGACTGATGTTTTTAAGGACAAAGATACTGTAACGGTCCTGTAACAAAAGGCATTGGATAGAGAATAAGGGGGTTCTTGGATCAGTTGCTTATTTTGTACCGTTGTCTTTCTGTGTCACCTCAGAAAATTGCTTGCCCTTCTAAGCTTTTGATCTTCATATATGAAACAATGTAGTAATTCTTTCTAAGGATTCCTTGGGGAACTGTGAGAAAACATTCATCAACTGATTGAGGGCCTCTGTACTGTAGACTAAAAGTATGAGGATAGAAAGACAACAAGCTCTTATAATTGCTTTAGCATGCGCATTGTTGCTGGGTGTTACTAGGTTTTGTCATTGGGTGTTGGTAAAAACTCTCATTTGACACTGCACATCCAAAAATGAGTAAAGCAAGGATTTATCTGTGCAGAAACCCCACCAAAATAACTAAATCAACTGTAACTGCAACTACTCTGCAGCACTTAAATATTCAGGATCTGAACAACATATTTAGGTGTTTTAATTTTAATTTCAGAATAGAAAAAAACAGGAAGCATAACATTCTGAAAGGCACTAAGGCAGGTTTGCAACCATTACCCTTAAACAGTACTAAAATTCTTGTTCAGATACGGCTCATCAAAAATCTCAGAGCCGAATATGACTCAACTTCGAAATCAGTGTTCTTGGCATATGAGTCTTAACTCAGTTTGATCTTTATCTTTCAAGCCCTGCAACTAAAAATTCCTGAAGGTAGGAGAATTCAAAACCTGGGTCAGCAGCTTATGTTCCTTTGTACTCTTGATGTTTCTCTAGTAGTTTCAAAGACACATCCATCCCTGCACGCATGCCTCCCTCAAACATACTGTGACACTAGAATGTGGCCTCACTAAAAACATAACTAGCATATAGCCTAAACTGGACTTGCCAAACGTAAATCTAACAGGGAGACATCCTGTGAAACAAACCATATACTTACCTACAAGTGTCTGATCTGTTGCTTGTGGGAATCGACTTTCCTCATCCAGCAGGGACAATAAACCCATTGGTTTCTGCAGGAACATATCTAAGAGGGGCCTGTTGTCCTCATATTCTATAACTCTTGCATCAACACCTTCATATAGGTATTCATTCTGTAACAAACAAGAAGGCAAGCTTTGTCTATGTTTACAGAACCACTTCAGAAATTAATTCACAAACTGTCAATTGTAGCAAATTAAAATTACACTGAAAAGTACGCCCTGGGGCTAAAGACATCAAGGTTTTGCAGGAACAAATTTCAGTTGGGACATATCACACTGTCAGGCTATAGACTTTAATTGGCCTTTGGATATGTAAGTGCTTTCTATGGCATATTTGGTAAAGTAAGATGTTTATGCAAGAAGAATCAGAGTTGAAGATGATAAAGTGTTTGCAGTGGAGCTCTCAGTGTCAATTTGCTTCCCTGGTCTGCAACGTTAAAAATATTTCTTGATCATGTAGAACTACATTTACATTCCCAACTCATTGCTCAGCTCTGTGATGTACACTGGTCAAGATTTACAAAAGTAACTACAGATTACAGAGGCTTCACTTGTTTGTTTCCCCTCAAATGCCTGGAAAAGTTCTTATGTGGAAAAAAAATGATGCATACCTCCTAATATTTAAAGAATGGTGTACATACTTTCTAAAAATTAAATAAATTGTCACAGGTTGGCCTTTACAATGCTTTCACTCCTTTTAAGGAACTAGGAAAAAGGTATTCAGCAAGATTAAAAAACAATAGAAAAGTTGGTTTTGTGTTGTTTTGTTTTTTTCTCTTGAAGACAGCAAATATCTTTGGATTCCTACCAGACTAAGAAAAACCTGATAACAAATGCCATGTCCACAGTGTGTTGCAATAGTTATATCTTGAAAATAATCTAAATTATAGCTGAAGAATATAAGAATTACTTTCTTTAATCCTTCAGCAAGGCAGAGGACAGCCACAGATTTACCAAAACAAGGATGCCTAGGGACCACCACTTGTCCATTATTTTTGCCTGCATTATGTAATGCAATAGTAGTTATCCACTGCACAGTGCTCCCACCGTATAGCAGGGCTGCCTTCAGTCCTGTGCAGGCTATGCTATGAAACACACAATTAAACCTTTTGATCTACTTTAAAAATCATCCCTCTTCCAAAGGATAGGACTTTATAAAAGTGTTGTGTTAATTCATGGTGTTAACATCACAGCTGTGCTATCCTGAATTCATTGTAAGAAGAGTGTCATGAACATGAATGATGGCTAATATTAATGAGTTCAAAGACCTCTAACCCTGAAAGACCTCTCCTTACATGTCATTCACTTGAGTCTGAATGACAGTCAGGGGTGAGTGAAGAAGGCAATACGTTGAGTGTTTCAAAACAAGAGTTAACTGCCGTATACCACAGAAAAGCACATGTTATTAGACATCATACCTCTTCATGTCTAAGCTGAAGAGAAACAGAAAATTTAATAAAATCAGTAACCCTGTCCTGGAAAAACAGGCCCAAATAGATTTGCTTATTCATTTGAAAGAGAACACAGAATATATATCTAAATCATTCCAGTATCCAGATTGATCTAATTTCCCAGGACACTCTTCATTCTAAGGATAAATTATGGCTCAGTTTATATGCCTGTACAAGGGTGTAAGCAGTAAGAATCTCTCTTACAGCCCCATGAGGGCTTGTCATCTCAGACACGTAACATTAACTTCATTCATGTCTCTCCTGGAGCAGTGGACAGGTGGAGTTTTGCTTTTTATTTTAATCAATGACCTGAGTAGCAGGACAAGACAGATGTATCACTGATACAGGCAAGAAGTTAATTATATACCTGTAGAAGCTACTGGCAGGAAGGGAATGAATCTGTGTTATCTCCCAAAGATAACACTGCAGGAGGGGTAGCTTAGCTGAGGGCTACAGCTGTACCAACACACAGATGTTATGTTCATGAAAACAGCTGTTACTGCTTAGGATTATCAAGGGGAAAAGGGAATAGATTGTTTAAAATTGAATCTATGAGAAGAGTGTTTCTCAGACACTCAGACATCCTCAAACAAGCTCTCACAGACAACCCATCTAATAACTTTTACCAACGTCATATGCTTGTGAGGCTGCTTTAGAAAGCTGATAAAAGAGTTCTGTTTAAAACTGGAAAGAGGTCTGTAATACCTCCACTACTACACTGTAACACCAACATCTGCTCCCCTCCCTGCCTGGCCAGTGCACGAGGCCTGACCTCCAAGCCTGCAGTGTATGTGACCGTTCCGTCGTGTCTGCACCTCGACAACTGAATGAGTGTCAGCACTGACACTTCTGGTAATGCTGCCATCTGCCCAGTAGGATACAGAAGGAGTTCACTCCATCGCTTCCCACGGGCTCCTGGAGGATGGCTGATAACTGAGTCTTCCAGGCACACTGTGATAGATGGTTCAGAAATAAGACACCATATTACATTTTCCTATGCAATGCTGGTCTTCAACCATATTATTAGGATACAAGCAGCAAGGATAAACCACTTAATGATGCACATCATAAAACCATAATGAAATAGATCTTATTTGAATTAATCAACTGAATCAGTTACAGGATCCTGTAATCCCCAGTGATGTTTTATGACAAGAAAGCTCCTTAAAATAGCAGCTGCTCATTGAAATTCTAAAGCATAATACACTAGAAAGTATTCCTATGGATGGAATGTCAAAAGGAATGACTGAGTTACACTAATACTTGGGGTTTCATCTCATCTCAGTATTGCATGGTATCTTTCCCATGATCAAAACTGGGCAATACTAGCTTGTGCATTCTGGTTTCACTTAATAAGAAGAGAATTATTAAATGCATTAGGAATTGGTCTTCATGTCGAATAAAAGCAAAAAGTAATGGCATTTTGCTGAGAACATGGTATGATGACACTTTGGTTTAAATAGGAACACAGGAGACTTATTCAGAATGAACCTTTTCCAGCTTAAAGTAGAAGATATAATTGTCATATAAACATTGCCTATATTTTATGCAAAAAGTATCATCCTTCCAACTGACAGTAAATTTGCCACTTTCCAAAATGTTTTAGATATTTGACATTACACCTGTTACTTTCTATATAAGAATCACAACTGAGAAAAAAATGGGACTGTCATATTTCTGGGCAGTGTTACCTGCAGATCATGGAGCTGACAGAATTAACTTAGATCAGTATGTTACACGTAAAGGAAACACCTTGAAGGACAGGACCAAAGGTGCAAAAGTTGTGCTTCTCTTAATATGAACCAAAAAAAAAAAAAAGCTTGTGCCAGCACTCATTCCAATTAACTATAGACACACAAAAGAAATGACTAGAGAGCCCACACTTCCTCCCCAGTCTGTGGAGTCAGAGACACTTGTTTCCACTATCAGGAATCTAAACTATCTTTTTATCTGAAACTATATTCCCCACTTCAGCCTTTCTGTTAAATTAGGGAAAGGAGATTGCATTCAGGCCTAAAAACCTTTATTCTTAAATGCAAACATTAAGTCAACAATAAAGAATAAATTCCGTTAATTTTGACTTGAACTCTCCACATGGGATGCAGACTGCTCTAGCAGACACCCTGAGCCTTGGATGTTGATAGTATTACCGTTGCTTCCTACTATTCCTATCACTTCTGAGGACATTTTTGTAGGCCACACTTTTTTTTTTTGAGGAAAGCAAAACTGAACACTTTTCAGATTCAGATACAGAAAAGAAACCACTGACAATGCTAAAAACATGTCACCTGCAACACTGAAAGTACAATTCAGCCTTATGAGTTAATTTACTTCATTGTTCAAGTTGCCAAAAAATTATTCACCTTTCCCATATAATCACTGCTTATTAGGTTGACATGGCTTAACTGAGAACTAGACTATAATCAACTGATTTAGGCCTTGAGTTCCAACTAGATCATGTGGTATGGAATTGAATGGCAAAACAGGGAAAGAAATGAAGAAATAATGTCCCTGTAAGTTTTACTTCTCTTGAGAGTAGTGTGAAATTAAATTCTGCAAGTCTTCCTTGGGTAGATCTACAGGATGCAATACAGGATGCTAGAGATTTCTGAGATAGCACAGAGTAATCTGACATGTCTGTCTAGCATTACACAGGGCTGAGGAGAGACACTGGACTGGGACACCAGCAACAGGATAGCTCCATCAGCATGACAGTCAGCTTGGACTAATGAAAAGTCAACATAAAAGTCTTTGTGACTGCTGGCATCAGCCTTCTCCTAAACATAACTCCTGTCTTTAAAGACACAAACTCTTATGTGTGTGTAAAGTCATACAGACACATCAGCAAAGGGCAGGGGTCATCCTATTGTTTGGCTTTTACATAAGTGATACTTTGTATCACTAACAAGAACAATTTCAGTCCTATGATTTTGAAAATATTTCCTTTTTTCCACGTATAGAAAATTCAGTAATTATATTTTATATTTTCCTGCAAATAGCTTTCTCTTATTTGCCTGCAGGAAGGACCTGTATTTACAATTAAAGTCCATCACTGGTGTTAACTCAGGAGAGTCCTTACAGTGAACAGAAAAGATTCTGAAGCCACCTCCTTTCTCAAAGACTGTACTTGTGATGTAAAACTGACACAGCCATGTTATAAATAAATGAAATGTGATGTCTTATAATGACTATGAATCATACTGCAAATCATCCCATGCCATTGGGCTGTAATGCAGAATAATACATCTGTCATTTCCAGGCTCTGAAAGGGGAGGGATTTACACCCACACTTGCATGAACTTAATTTATATAGCTCATTCTGCACTGCTGTAGTAATATCTTTGGAAACTGCTACAAGATAATATAATGAAGTTTGATATAATCTGGTGTAGTGTCATGTAAATTAAAGTAGACATCTTACTTGGTTGGTATTACAGGCAGGATGTGGACACTTGTAATAGGAATATTAGGACTGGTACAAACGAAATATGAATGGAAATGTGCATCTAAGTACCAGAAGAAAAGAGTCTTAGAAGAATGGCCTGTGATTTGAATGAAGAACATTTGCTCACAGCAATAAAATTGAGGAAAGTGTTGCTTACATCAAGACCAGAAAGCCTTCACTCACATAAAAACACAGTGCAGGCAGCTAGCAAGTGGAACACCCTCTAAATCTGACAACAGGAGGATGACTGCAACATTATGGCACATCACATAACTCCTTTCCTTTTCCTACAAGCCCACCAAGGAACCTGACTGTAGGCATAAAGATGTATATATTCCAAACAAGCAAAACCAGATAATGACTTTGCCTAAAGATTACAGAGGCTGAAGTAAATAAGGTTCTGAGGTAAAAAACCACCCTGTAACAACTGATGATTGCTAAAGGGTGTAAAGATATCCAAAAATTATTTTAGCAAAACAAACCTAAGAGACATGATGAAGACTTGCTAGCTGGTGTCCCTTAATCTCTGTGGCTCTCACAAATGATCCTGGACAGACCACCTTAACACACACACATCCTAGTGCTTTCTATGTGGGTGTGAGTCAATGAAATCTATGAGAGAATGAGTGGGAGTGAGTAAGACTGACAGAGATTCTGTAAATAAAGATCACCTTCCCCTTCCATAAGGTCTGTGATTTTCATACTAATGTCCTACAGGGAGATAGGGGTAAACTATGTTGTCAGAATGAGAAGTTCATTTTTTCCCTCATCTGCTCAGTAGCAACATAACCACCCTGACCTCTGCAGCAGGGCATGTGCAGGACAGCAAACTCTTCCTACTTTGTGAGACCGCAAACCTCCGCATTAATATATGTCTGTCCAAAATGTTTCGTATTAGGATATCTAGAAACAAATAAAGGTAGATTACACTGAACAGGACCCAAATCTAATTAAAAAAGAGAAGGAGCACTGACAATATTTGTGTGTACAGGGATAGGGTTAGGAAAGCCAAGGCAGGTCCATCAGTAGCAAAGAGGCAACTAGGGAAAATATGGTCTGCTGCTGAATGGGTGTGGGTGACATGGAAAAGGCTGAGATACTTGATGCCTTCTTTACCTCAGTCTTGACTGATAATCCCAGGTCTCTGAGACCAGAAGGAAAGTCTGAAGCAAGGAAGGCTTACCCTTAGTGGCGGAGGATCAAGTTAGGGAACATCTGAACAAAGTGGATGCATGCAAGTCCATGGGACCCGATCAGTGCTTGGATTTGAGAGGAATAAATAACAGTGGTGCAGTGTGTGTTACTTCCATCTTCCAGCTGTTAGAAACAGGAGTAGTCAAGTATTCTTTTTGTGTGAATTTATGCACTTTGGAAAGAAGATGCCTAAGTAATTATAGTAGTTCAGACTAATTTCTCTCTGACTTTTAGACGCTATTAAAGACAACGAAATACTTATGACTGAGAATCTTTCACATAAATCTATAAAAACAACGACAAGGTGTAAAACTGAAAGACAGCATTTCCTGAAATAATTGGAAATGAGATAAAACATTGATCCATATAAAAAAACTTCAAGTTTATACATAGATATATACACCTCTAGACTGATACATGTACACACCTGCATACACAGACACATTCCAAACTTGTATCTGTCTCATCCTTAAACTAAGCAGTGATTAGCACTGACAAAATACTCTTTCTCTGCTAACAATTAAAATTTGTATTCAGGAGGATTTTCATCTATCATCTTTCATAAAACCCAGTAATTTCAATAAAACAGAGAAAGTATTTCACCTAAAATTTGAATCTTAACTGTTCTGCTCATACAGAATTCTGGAATATTTCTATTTTCAGCACAACTTTTTTTTTTTCCTGGATGCTTTATTTCTTCAAATAACAATTTTGAATAATGATTTAAAGATGGTTAATTTAATTCTTATGGAATTATTTACAAAGTTGAGATGACCTTTTTTGAATCTTTTCACCCTCCTCTTCAATTTCACAAACTTTTATAATTACAACTCTATTCCATTTCTGGTTTACATCAAATTATTTAGCTTAGATGCTCTAGTTCCTGAATACGAACAAAATAATTGTGAGATTTTCAGTTTTTAATAATGGAATTTCAGTGTTCATTAAGCTTATCGGTAAGCTATTAAGAATGCTGCACTTTAAAAATTATGTTACCACTCATTTATTTTTTTACTGTGGAATCATACGTCACTCATATTATTCCTCAAGAAAACAACACTGCACTTGCATCAAACCGATTACCACTGTGTTATGTTGCTTAGATACTGTACATTTCAAGATTAATGCATTCTATTAGGCATTTTACTTGTAAGTAGCAAGCACTGCTTCACAGAATACACACTCAGAAAACATTTGGTATAATCTGCAATTTACAATCTATTATAGAGAAGGAATAATGTGGTTTCTTGAGACAAGGGTTTATACGTTCAGCAATATTAAAGCTTTATCAAAATATTCCACACATACCTGTTCCCAGGCAAAGACATGTTGATTGAAGTAGAACTGAATTTGTTCATTGGCAATGTTGATACAGAGTTGCTCGAAAGAATTTTTTTTGAAATTCTCAAAGCCAAAGATATCAAGAATTCCAATGTTCAAACCATCATCGTTTCCACTGCAAAGATTAAATATACTTTCTATTGTTGAATCTTTATTTTACACTGACTAGCTTCATTATTATTTCACAAAAGGAAAAAATGTGCCAAATCAGTACATCAGTTAAACAGAGAAATTTTTGCTAAACTAGATATCTCTTAAAAAAACAGACAATTTTTGTTTGAAATACAATAAATGCACATCAAAGATGACTACTTGCAGACCAGATACACTGAAGCCCACAATGACCAAGTCAGCTGATAAGCGTATAGCAGATTTGCAATTTTATTGTTAAACTAATATTTGCTAGTTAATATTCTATTGTAAAAAGTTGACTACAGTACAAAATCAACATGCAGTTCTTTTTGTTGCTCTTGTAATAAAAAAGGCTTTACTCAACAGCATCTTGAAATTAAAGATTGCTGCCATTAAATATTATTTCTTCATATTGGCTGTCAATAAATATTATTTCTTCATATTGTTTATTCACAGCAATTAAAAATGCTTAGTTTAACATGAAATCAAAAGAACAAATAGCTAGACCTTTTATGAGTCTAAATAACTACTTTAAGTACTGGAGTGTGGTATGAATTTAAATTACCAGTTAAGTTCCAGAGAAGTACTGCTACTAAAAATTTGTTTGAAATTTTAGCCAAGGCAATCTGAGAGATATGTGGTCATTTCTGCAACTGGATAAAAAGCTCTAATATACATATTTGCTGAAATAGAAAATTAAGAAGATATAATCTTATATTAAACTGAAGTTGACATCAGTATCTTTTCCTACCTAAATTAAAAAAATAACCACATTCTATCTATAAAACTCCTTTGAGGGGCTATCTGTAACCTTATTTTTTTTTTTTTTTATAAAAAGTGTAGGAAACTGGGTATGAAGAACCAGCCTCAAGAATAGCACTTGAACCTCTTTATGAAGTCCACCTCAAAAATGCAAGCATTTCATTTTGGAGGGATCAAAGGTATTTACTGATTTTGACCTGAATTTGGTGACTATTTTAACTGTCTGGAAATTACATTTTTCGTTAATAGACAGCTGAAATTTGTCTAACCTATTCCTTCTCAGAATCAATCACATGAAAATAGCAAATACAAATTAATTTACTACCACAAAACCAAAGCAGACTTCTGTTTGGGTTTTTTTTTGTATAGTAAACATTTCAGGTTGAACTTTCTCCTTTCTCGCCAGCATTATCAGTATTCAGTTTGAAAAGGACTCTGTAACAGGCAGGTGAGAGAGGCACACAGGCTAGCAATGTTGCCCCTTCTACCGTTCATTTTATCCTGTCACTTACTGATTAAAGTTCTGTTTATTTCTGCTCTGCTGTAACCAAATATTTGAAAGTTTAGACAAATTTTAGGATTGTAGCCTTGGCTTTCCTCTGATATTAAAAAAAAAAAATAATTCCAGAAAATCCAGGTTTGCAAACCAAAGCTATTTAGTATTGATATTCCTCTTCAGGTAGTTATGTTTGCCCCTTTTCATGGCTACTATCAGCCATAGAGCCCTGACCATCAGGATCTACAATGCAAACCACATAATTTCTTCTTCGATTAATTTGCAAAAACTGTTACATGCTCATTTGCAGCATCTTTCTCCTGTGTTTAAAATGTCCCCTTGTAAGGGTAGGGTGGACATTAACCTCAGTAAATGTGTTTGGAAACTATTCTCACACATATATGAGCCACACTCATAACAACAGTGACAGAAGCAACAGTATCAGTGCAAATAAGAGCAGAATTCGACCTATGTAATCAACAGATGAATGTCAAAAGTTGACACTGACAAAGTATAAAGGAAAAAGTAGTTAGTATGTCATTTACAAAGGATTAAATGAGTAAAGGTCAAATAGGAGAACACCAGGCACCTGTGCTATCCATATCTACTGTATTTTCACTGCTTACTATGAATAGAATAAAACCCTTTTTTTTAAGATAAACAAAAAGGTAGCAGAGAAAAAAGTAGAAGAGAACATTAAACACTCTAGTGTAGATAATATTATTCCAACATAAAATCTCTCTTTATTCTGGAAAAGATTATTTTACCTTAAATGTTTGTCAGGTTTGAGTAAAGTGTTGATGCGATTGACTATCCAGCTAAAGAGGCGCCCATACAGTGCTTTGGCCATGGCATCTCTGACATCAGTGGCTTTTTCCACAGTGTTGGGACGAATAATTGTTTCTCCTCGAGTCACAACACAGTGAGAGGTGAGGGCCTCCTGCAGTTCATCTGCCTGAATACACAGCAAGGATGCACCTAGGAAGGAAAGTCAGAGGCATAGCTCAGAGGCAGATTTTGTAAGAAAAATATGCATTTTTGCAATCAAAGCTGTAAGTGTAATATATTAGGAGTAAAGGCCAAATCAAAGTCTTGAAGTATGACTAATGAGGGTGTTCACACCAAACAACTGTCATTATGTAATTTAGTCACCAATCTCCCTAGCTTCCACTGCAGTCAATGTGTAAGTGACTCAAAGCAGAGGCTATTTCTCCAAAATGTCTACAGAGAAATGCTAGGGGGAATCTAGGTGACTATGTCAGGAGTATGAAAGTAGTAAGGTGTGAATACTCCTCTCAGTTATAATCCATCCATATAAGCCACTGCTGTCCTCCTTTTGCTCCAAAAAAGGGGTGCTTCTTTCCCAGTTCCACAATACTTTTGTATCCATGGCAGGAAAATGTGTAAGAAGATAGCGTGAAGACTTCATTGTCTCACCACCTGTAATTATTGAGAAAGAGTAGCAAATCTGCTTGAGAATCTTTGCCCCTTACTCTGCTCTGCCCCCCAGCAACCTATAATGTAAGGTATCACTTCCAAAGAACTAGTGAGCCATATTTGAACAGGCACATGTGAGGAACAAGTAATGAGTATCTAAGAAAGAAACTGAGAAAAAACCTATTCAACATGTTAATGAGGTTCTCCATCAAATGTTCAAATAACCTTGGAAAAATTCCAAAGAGTTTCTTTTCAGGCATCTGCAGTATTAGTCATGTTTCCTGAATGCCTGTGAACTGGTTAGTCAAATAAAGTGCATAACACAGAATTTTTTTTCTTTTTGCATATAATTCAGGTGGGCTTGGAATTAATCTATCTTCAGCATTTAATGATTCTTGCAAAATAACCACGTGAATAGAGTTTTCACAGATAACTCTCTTGCAATAAAAGAAATTCACTATCAAAACACTAAAGGAAAACAATCTTTAATCAAGAAAAATCACTCACAGTTCTCAAGTGCTACTGGATTGGAAATGTTGCTCTTGTCAATCATATGTTCAGATACCACTGCAGAAAATTCAATGTTACCCACATTTAAAATGGCAGCCAAGACACTGTACACACTTCCAAGTTCCTGAAAAATATATTTAAAAAGATGCAATACTTACAGACAGATAGATTTGTCAGTTTGGTTTGTGCAATGGGCATGTGTGTGTTGTTTCCTGTTGTCTGCCACATGCCCACTACTTTTAGGAAAACTGTTCTCAGCAGTTATTCCCTGTTCTGTACTCAGCATAGTCTTTCAAGTGTAAGACACTCAAAGAGGGCAAGACAAACTATAGCCTAATCTTTCTTCCTTACTTGTCAACAGGACAAGGTTGACATGGGAGTAGGGGAAGCACAAAACAGTGGTGAACTTAATCCTCTTGCGCAAAAAGAATTCAGAAGTTATTTATATCCAGTTTTCACTGTGTTTGCAGGAACAATCACATCAAAAAATGTAATATGTAGATCAACAAAAATATAAAAAAAATCTGCATCTATGTTTCTTGGATCATGGAAACACAGGTACTACAAATAATAGGTCTGCAATGGCTCCCACGGACACCATCAGAAAAAGTTTCACTGGGAGAAGAGTGAGACCTCACATCTCTGATTTGGCAAAGCACTTTACCCTTCAAAATGTCAGTTAGGAACTGTGTACTCACCAAAGCACTTTAGTATGGACTTTACTTAAACATATGTATATTTCAAATTATTTAGTAGGTTCTGAAGATGGATTCTGCCTTGAAAAGGCTAATATTAGTCTGAACAGTGAAATGATATATACAGCAAATTTAATTTAAAGTACTTATACATGACAAATAAAATCATATATGCAATTAATAAAATAATGCTTTCATTGCAGGTTTGACTTAGATTTGAACTGTGAATTTTCATCTGAACTGTGAATGTTTATCAGTATTACTTGATGATCTCTGAGTATTTTCTACTAAAAATGCTGACATGTTCCTGTAAAGCAGACCAGGTTTTAAGCTTGGAATCCGTATTACTATACATGTATTTTAAGGCATGCAGTAATAGTGTACTCTATAAATAGCATGTTTTTAAGTTTTATAGTAGTTTTATATGAAGCAGTTTTGTAAATTTGATTGGTATTTTATAATGATGGACTTCTCATAGTTGCACATCATTTTATCCTTAATATTCAATAGTTTGCTGGTACCATGTCAGGCATCATTTACTAGGATAAAATCCTTAATTGCTCTACAATACTTGATCTTGTTTTCAACACTTTCAGAAGTTAATCTAGCAGTTAATAAATTAATTATTTCAGTGACAGCAAGATAAACTAGGTAAGCTAACTCTAAAAAATTATGTTCAGGATAACTGGCACTGTTTACCTAGGTTTTAAGCAATCATTTTTATTTTAAGCTTCTGGACACAGATGAAATGCAAAGCAATGGATAGCTTAACTTCTGCCATTATGCTGTATATATAGTATGTATAGCTGCTGACATTTTTGTGTCCTTTTCCAGTGTGCTTGAAATCTGGCTTGATGTGTCTCATACAGCATGATTATTGTTCACCTCAGGCAGTCCTTTTCTATTATTATTGCTATGCAGCCTGAAATAAAACTGTGTGATTTTTAGACAGGGAGTATTGACAGTAGTTACTATTAAAGCCTGCCTGTCAGTTAAAAACATATTTCAAAGAAATAAAGCCTTGTTTAGGACTCAGTTTTAATTGGAGTGGAGAAGATGTTCTGTTGAAGGTTTTCTGCTAACAAACCATGGAACATGCTCATATAGAACCTCCTCTGTGCAGTGGGATGAATGTCCAAGCTTAAGTCTGCATTAATAATAAGTGAACTTAAAAAAGGAACTCATTGTCTTACCGTTATCTTTTTCTCGCTGAAAATCAAAGAATCACAGAATCATCTAGGTTGGAAAAGACCTTGAAGATCATCAACCCAGCACTGACAGTTCCCAACTACACCATATCCCTCAGCGCTATGTCAACCCAACTCTTAAACACCTCCAGGGATGGGGACTCCACCAGCTCCCTGGGCAGCCCATTCCAACGCCTAACAACCCCTTCTGTAAAGAAATGCTTCCTAATATCTAGTCTAAACCTTCCCTGGTGCAACTTAAGGCCATTCCCTCTTGTCGTGTCACCTGTTACTTGGTTAAAGAGGCTCATCCCCCGTTCCCTGCAACCTCCTTTCAGGTAGTTGTAGAGGGTGATGAGGTCTCCCCTCAGCTTCCCTACCCTCAAGCAGATCAACACTCCCACCCAACTTGGTGTCATCTGCAAACTTACTGAAGGTGCGCTCGATCCCCTCGTCTATATTATCAATAAAGATGCTAAACAGGACTAGCCCCAAAACCCAGCCCTGGGGGACACCACTTGTGACCCGCTGCCAACTGGATTTAACTCTGACACCTCTCTGGGCTCGGCCATCCTGACAAGTTTTTTACCCAGCGAAGCATGTGCCCATCCAAGCCACGAGTAGCCAGTTTTGCCAGGAGAATTCTGTGGGAAATGGTGTCAGAGGACTTACTGAAGTCGAAGTAAACAACATCCACAGCCTTTCCCTCATCCAAGAAGCAGGTCGCCCTGTTGTAGAAGGAGATCAGGTTTGTCAAGCAGGACCTGCCTTTCACAAACCCATGCTGACTGGGCCTAAGCATCTCGTTGTCCCACATGTGTTGTGTGATGGTACTCAGGATGAGCTTCTCCATCAGCTTCCCGGGCACCAAAGTCAAGCTGACAGGCCTGTAATTTCCTGGATCATCCTTCTGACCCTTCTTATACATGGGCGTCACTTTGGCCAATTTCCAATCAGTCGGGACCTCCCCGGTCAGCCAGGACAGCTGTAAATGATGGAAAGTGGCTTGGCGAGCACCCCAGCCAGTTCCTTCAGCACCCTCAGGTGTATCCCATCCGGTCCCATAGACTTGTGTGTGTCTGTGTGATGCAGCAGGTCACTGACTGTCTCCTCCTGGAATGCGAGGGGTCATTCTCCCAGTCTCTGTCTTCTGGCTGAGGAGGCTGGATTCCCTCAGCACAACTAGTCTTGCTATTAAAGACTGAGGCAAAGAAGGCATTAAGCACCTCAGCCTTTTCCTCATCACTTGTTACCATGTTTCCTCCTGCATCTAGCAGGCGATGGAGGCTCTCTCTGGTCTTTCTTTTGCAGCTCACATACTTACAGAAACATTTCTTGTTGTCCTTGATTGCTGAAGGCAGATTAATTTCCAGCTGGGCTTTAAACCTCCTGATTTCCTCCCTGCATAGCCTCACAGCATCTTTGTAATCATAGTGGCTAGCCCCTTCTTCCAAAAGCTGTAAACTCTCCTTTTCTCCCTGAGTTGCAGCCAAAGCTCCCTGTTTAGCCGGAATGGTCTTCTCTGTCAACAACTTCTCTTACAGCACCTGGGGACTGCCTGCTCTTGAGCCATTAACACTTTCTTCTTGAAGAGTGCCCAGCCTTCCTGGACCCCTGTACTCTTCAGGACCATCTCCCAAGGGATCCTGTCAAGCAGGTGCCCAAACAAGACAAAGTCAGCCCTTTGGAAGTCCAGGATGTCAGTTCTCTTTTCCCTCTCCTGGCCTCTCTAAGAATAGAGAACTCGATTACTTCATGATCGCTGTGCCCTAGTCAGCCTCCAACCGTCACATCATCCACCAGTCCTTCTCTGTTCACAAAGAGGAGATCCAGCAGGGCACCTTCTCCTGTTGGTTCACTCACCAGCTGTGTCAGGAAATTATCTGCCACACATTCCAGGAATCTCCGGGACTGGTCCCGCTCTGCTGTGTTGTATTTCCAGCAGATGTCTGGGAAGTTAAAGTCTCTCACAAGAACAAGGGCAATCAATTGTTAGATTTCTAAATGCCTACAGAGTATTTCATCCATCTCTCTGTCCTGGGTGGGTGGCCTATAGTAGACTCCTACTACAACATCTGCCCTGTTGGCCTTCCCCCTGATTCTAACGTAAAGACACTCCACCCTGTCTCTGTACATGTATGCTGTATCAGAACCTCAGTGGGGGAAGAAGACTTCTCTGTTCCTTCATTCTTGCAAACAGCCTCAGACAAGCTAATTCACCCAACGAAGAATGTCAGACAGGCTAACATGGACACAGTTCACATGTAACCAGTTAGATTTCCTGTGGTACTCAACCTGCTTCTGAAACTGGCAGATTTCTACACGTAGGTAATTCTTTACAGATTCAGCTCACAGTGGCTTGCTGAGCTAATCAAGTGAAGATCCATGCTAAAACTGTACAATGTGGTCAGTGACCTAGTTCTAACTGGATCTTCAATATATAAGGAAGGTCTGTTTTAGATGATCAGGATTACTGTTTCCATCCATCCAAGTGAATAAAAGAACCAGGAACAAAAACAGACTTGATGTTTTTCATGGTATAAATTAGGACTTATCAAGGTCTCTGGTGCTGTAACAAAAGTGCTATCAGTGCTGAACTGTGCACATCCTTCCATGCTGCTTCTGGAAAGGTGAAAGTACAAGTGTGAAAGGATGTGACAGTACAGGTGCTATATTACTAAGTGCAGTTGTGAATAAGAAAGTAGAGGAGAAAGAGACTGCGAATGACACTGCTACTACAACTTAATGCAAAATGAGTATGGAAGAACAGAACAGGTGAATAAATCTGTTCCATTAGCTATTCAAATATTTACATTGAGGGAAGCCAGAAATACTCAACTGAAGTGAGTAATTTTCTGGGAAAAGCTCCTTACAACACACAGTTTTGTCAAAGAAATAAAAAACATACATCCATTTTGCAGCACTAGTGTTTGTATTTCAGAGATACTATATGGATCATACACCTATTGTTGCTTGTGATAAATAAAGTCAGAGGTAAAGTACAGCTGTAATATACCACTTCTCCCAAGAAGAGAGAACTAGGGTGCAGGATGGGGTTTCCTTCCCTTGCATCCTGCTTTATAAATCCAGAGATCTGTTTGTATTTTAATTATACCAACAACAGCCTAAGGAGAGGGGTTTAATGGCTAGCAAAGCAATCATATGAGAGCATAAAGAAAGAATGGGTTCAGTTAATGTTTAGTGATGAGATTCACTCCAAACGGATGTAAAAACATGCAACTTTACCCATGGATTTGTGAAAATGTATTGAGTTCATCAAAACTCATATCAACTCAATGAATTTTTAGAACTCTCACCATGGACTTTATCTTAAAACAGAGATGAGGCTCATATTCACAGGCCTAAAATTATAGGCTAATAAATAGTTATGACGTAATTTTCTATTCATTTAATTTGCAGAAGCTTTTTCTTCCCAATTACTCAGTTGTGCTGCATTCACTGATTTCAAAGTCTTGTTGACTAATACAATTTTATTTGTTTATCAACGCCTTGAAACCTTAAAAATTTAAATGTGGTAATATAACAGTAAGTTGACCATGCAATATCCTAAAACATAAACACACTACTGCTAAAGGAAGAAAAAAGCAAGGGAGATTATTTGAATGCTTTATATAAGTTTTTCCTGATTAAGGTAGCCACGGAAGTTCACCAAAAATAATGATTATCAGCACTCACCTCCAGTGTAAAACCTATGACTTTGAAGCATTGTTCAATTAATTCAAACTGAGACTTATAAAAGCTATTGTTCATGAAATCTTGCACTATTCTGAAATGATCATTTTGTAGATATCTGAAAGAGTTGATGGATACAGAGTTAGAATGTAAATGAGGTTGAGAATTCAACACCACTTTATGTAAAAATAAACTGCATTACCTGGGAGGTCTATATTCTGGCAGTTTATAATGTGCCAGTTTTTTCTTTTCCGCCAGACCAGCATAAATATAATAAAAAATATGGAAATTTTTCTCTCCTCTGAAACAATAGAAAGAACAAACCGGTTTAGTAAGGCAACTGTGTTATATTTACTGATGACATACATGCTATTATTAAATGTTATTTTAATAACAAGCAAGGCTCATGCAAACTGATAGAGGACTCTGAAAGAAGCTTTTACACAAGTCCGTATAAAGTGAACACCCTCTCTGTGCCACTGTGTGTTTGTTCTGAAGCCCCCAGGGCAGTTGCTTGGTGCTACAAGCAGCTAAATGCTGCTCTGCTTTTGATGCAATTGATAGATGTTGGGTGAGATCTTGCACATTGCTCACCCACTCACATGAAATAGGCTGCTTAATCTCCAGTTATTTTAAAATATGTTCTGACCATGGGCGAGCTATACACCCCTGATTCAGTCACTGAATCCAGTATGTTTGCTGTGTCCTTTAGCCCTGAACTGAGAAAGAACATAAGCAGACATTCAGCAAAGGGCCTTATGACTTAGCATGTTTTGCTTAGAAGTTAGGGGCCCAAACCCAGGACAGAAGGTTTATTGCACATCCAAGGTTCCTGTGCATGTCATGAGAAAGATGAATGCTTAGGTGGAAATTTGCAGCTACCACTGAACCCTGAGATGGCCAAGTCAGTCACTATGAAATGGCAAAAGGAACTATGTTCAAACCCCAGGTTTTTGCATGAGCTGAGGTGTGTGTCTCAGGAGCACTATAACATGCTTCTGTGAAAGAGGATCAGAGCCCAGTGCACTCCTCTCTGCATGGGGGGTACGTAGATCAGAGTTCAGTGCCAACTTAGTTTGCATTATTTTACTGTGGACAGTCAGTAGTAGAAAACAAGAACAATTTAAGGAGTAGGAGCAGACCTCCAATCTTCCCCCTCAGTGTCTTAACCATTACGTTGCATAGCCATGTTCTGCACGTTCTCTGAAACCTCAGTGTCCTAATGGTTTGTATATTATCTTGGAAAGGAAGGGGAACCTGTAGGTTCAAAATCTCTTGGCTTGGAGTGGGTCTGGAACTTGGATCTCCCATTTTCTGGGTAATCAGTCACTGGTTTTCTGAAAGAAGTCATTCCTAGCTCTCCACGTGAGTTTAGGAGTTGTGTTCTCCCAGAAGAGCAGAACAGATTGCAGGTACCCAAATGCCAGTTTTCTGCCCTGGCACAGCTGTATGGACCAGCCACCCAGTGACCTCAGTGAAGAGGAGAACACTCTTGACATAAAGAGCTTCAAGTTCATGCCTCAAAACTCAACCTTCTAGAGTGGCTCTCATGCTAAATATTTTCTTGTGGATTAAGACATATAAACACCTATCTAAATAGTATTTGAGGCATGTAAATGCTTTGCTTACTTCCGGTCTCAGCATGTGGGAAAATATAAACTGACAGCTACAGAACAAACCCATGAAAAGTTATGTAAAAGTATTTTAAGGAAAAAGCCAATTTCAGTCTAAAAAAGCAGTTTCTGTGCTTATAGAAAATACATGTCAATAATTTAAATGCCATTTAATTTTTCCATAATTTTGTATTATGAGATACAAACATGACAGTGATTGATCTATTCTGCACTTGGTCCATAATCCTTTAGAAACAAATTCTAATAGATGCTCCACAATGGAAAACTAACACTTTGCAAACAAACAAACAAATAAAGCTACAATACAAAAGGAAACATAGAGGAATTAAATCCAAGTGATACACTTAACACAATACTTCACAAAGAAATTTATAACTGAGCTACTAGGAAGTTTTTAATTCTTTACACATTCCGACACACTTCATATATCACGTATGCATTATTATGAGATTTGTTTAAATAACCCATGAGGCAATGAAAAAAAAATCAGGAGTATTTTTCAGCTATCTTACAGATTTATAAGCTATTCATATACCATTTACAAGAAAAGATTCCAGTACCTTAGTTGTCTTAGTGTTTTGATCCAGTATAATTTCCTGCATTGTAGGTCTACTCTGTAACCCTCAAATTAAGTCAAATGTAATTCTTATACTTACACTGCCTGGTGGACAACTCTGGATTTTTCAAGGAGATACTCTGAAATCTGAGCTCCTACTACAGTGCCACCACAGGTGAATTTCATTTCCAAATATTTTCCAAATCTGCTTGAGTTATCATTGATGATAGTGCCTGCATTCCCAAATGCTTCGACAAGGTTATTCACCTGGAGGATCTTCTCCTGTAGAGTTCTGTTATTAGCCTGAATATGAAAAGGATATTGCTTAAAATGATCAGTAATCATTCAAATACATTCATTCTTAAGTGTTTCTTTCATCTTCTAGCTGGTATTGTGAAGTGTGACATCATCAGGGCAGCCATTCCCATGTGAATCATATGGAAAGAAAGGCAGGCATGTATTATAAAACCTGTCAGAATATAGCAGTCTGCAGAACTAATGGCTGGGTGGAAGAGATGACATGCCTAATGATAACATCACCACCAGAACTAATCAATTTCTGTGGCCCACTGCTCTGAGATGGCTGGCCTGTTTTTAGTATTCTTGTTAGCATCTGCTTACTGCTGCATTGCACCATACAAATAGCTTGCTTGCATCTCACCTGGGACATGCAAAATGGCATTTCATTTAGACAATTATGGTGGTCACTTCCCAGAATGACTATGTCCCACTGACAGCAATCTGGTTGTGGAAGGAAGAGGATTTTATTTAGTACAGTTTGGGTAATTTGAAGACATTCAAACAAACAAGGGACAGACCAAAAGTTACAGCCCTCACTGCAGTGGGTACTTCCTTGCAGAATCCCCCAAATATTTTCAAGTGACCCTGGTTCAAGAGGGAGGAAGGGGTAGACAGACCAACATCATGTTCCAATCTGACCTTACGGGAGTTCTTTGGAAAATTTATTACAGTATTGTCCCCCTACCAATGTCCTGTCCAGAGGTTCAGTCAATTAGGCCTAAGATAGCAAAGTCTTTCAGAGATATCCCTTTGAAATATACCTTGCCCAGGACAGTGAGCTGCTGAACCAGAAGATGGGCACTTTGCGTCTTGCCAGCTCCACTTTCTCCAGAAATAACGATACACTGCAGAGAACAAAAGCATGACTCTAAGCTTATTACATATCTCTCAGCCTAGCAAGGGATAAAATTAAGACACGTCATCTTTACCTGATCGGAGTTGTATGTCACCATGGATTGATAACCTATGTCAGCAACAGCAAAAATATGAGGAGGGTTGGCAGTCCGTTTGGCTCCAATATACAGTCTGGAATACTAAGTGTAAGAAAAATGAAAACATTATCAGTGTCCCTTAATAACTTTTTTTAACCAAGAGTTTAATTTAATTTTCAGGTTAGACTAGAGCATGCTGAGGTTACCAGCAGTGATGTTTCCTGAGTGAGCTGTTACTGCACTCTCCCACAAATCTATGTACTTAGTACTAGAAGAACTGCTAAAAAAGGTGAAGCACAATTTTGTGTGATGTCAGCCCTGACTATACTATGAAACTCAGATTATTAGAAGAAAATTTAATGTTGCCAAACATCAAGGACCAACTTATAATTTGATTTTATTTGTACTTCATATCTTCTTAATATTTCTGCATGGTACTGATGAAAAAACTTAAGATCTTTTCTGTACCTGTAGTCTCTGATAATTAATAATGCCAAATTATTGTATTAACAGATTTTCCTATTTGTCCCCTTTTGTGTAACGGAGAAGCAAAATCATAAAAGTTAAAATTTTACAGGGTTGCTTTGTAAACCATCTGATCAATTAAATAGCTATGGTTTCTCCAGCTGACTTGGGAGGAAAAGTCCCAGCTCCTACCTCCAGCCATTCACAGAAGTTCTTCATGGGAAGTGGAGGAGAAGGAATGCTCCCTCCCACAAAGAGGGGTAAGATTCACATGAATCTGCACTTATCTGCACAGATACTACCTCTGAACTAGCTGCTATGGGCAGCTAGTGCCTTTATACTCCGTAGGGTTCCAGTCAACAAATACATGAAGTTTAGCACAATTTATTTCATCCTAGAATGAATGTTGAGAGTCACTAGGAGAGCAATAACCCCATAAATTCCATTTCTGTCCATTGATTAAAATGGATTACTTACTCAGATATAGCTATTTGCACTTTAGACATGATACAGACATGATCTACGCTACAGACCTAAAGATATCAGAAATAAATTTTTTGTGAGTTTCTCATTTCTGTGCTGAAATTCAGCACATGATAAGGATGTGTGTCAACAGGCACTTGAAGGGACAACTGTATTGTTAATTCTGTTTTTCAGTGTGAACTGAAATAAATCTCACAAGGGTCTTACTTTATACTTAACACAAATATTAATATTTTAATGGCAATCAGTACTAGTTTAAAAGAACCAAATCTAGTTTTTCACACCTGTGAAGAATAAATATCTATGTTCTGAAATGGATTGACAGCGATGAGAATGTCCCCAACATATGTGTAGATCTGATCCTTGGCATAGCCCTTCTGCAACTGCTCTGTTACTGTATTCTGATGGAGAAAGAATAGGAACATTGAATCACACGGGGAAAAAAAGAATATTAGGAAAATGTATAAAATATTTATATAGTTACAATGAGTGAGGATAGAAAGGAAAGGTATTAATAGTCAGAGATAAAACTCATCATGACCAAAAGTGAGTAACACTTTCAAATACACTGGCATACCTAATTTTTTGTGCCTAAACTCACTCTGAACAATATATACTTACAGATCCCCAAGTGGCTGTAGAAAAATGAGTTAATAAGTGCTGCTTTAATTCAATTAATCAAAGGTTTCCATGAGACTTCTGTCTTCATTTCTAACATGACAGTTTCATGTAACTCATCAAACAAGACATATGCTTGAATTCATAACTGCTGTTACAGCTACTCTAACATTATTCTCAGTTATGATAAGACACAGATGTTCAGCTGTTTGGATCCTATTAATGTAAACAATCAGGCATCTTTCTATATAAACCACCAGTCTCTGCTGTGATTGTTCTTTGCTGTTGCAGAGACAGTTTTCCCTGAACCAAGAAAAAAGAAAGGCCCACTAGGGCCATACCCAATTTCTTGACATAATTTTCCTCAGCTGCTTCTGTACACAGGCCTGGGTATGTAAAGTGCCTGGTTAGGTTTCCAATCAAAACAGGTCATAGAGATGGATGAAGAAATCTAAACCAGCCTTGAGACTAATCTGAGGTGTATGTGACAATATTTAGGCCTTATTCCCACTGGAACAGAATGACCAGCATCAGAGGACTACAGAAGGAATTGCTTTCCTCCACATCTATCTGTCTGCAGTGTCATGCACTGTGTTCTGGTTAATGCACTTAAAATCTGAATTTGCATCAGATGAAGAGGCCACATTTCCTTCACAGAAGAACATAAGGAGAAAACTTTGGTTTTCCATTGCCTTGATAAACAGTTCTCTTTTTGGTTTTAAATACTACCTTGCTTTTGTCTGTAACCAGATTCACATTAACAGAATTTTTTAGGGGCATTTCAGCCATTTTTGAAATTATTTCTTGCACTGATAGAAAGTGTCCTGTTCTGATGGGACTATCTAAACTGGAAGAAAGTTTGATTGGAAGAAAGGAGTTCTGAGAAGCTGCCGTTCATATGTTCATATGAAAGAGGTTTTAAACTGGACTGGATTTAGTAAAATATCATTTAGTCAACTGATGCCTGTAGGTGGAGGCTTCTTAAGGACTTTTCTGAGAATGCTCCACCTCTGAGGAGATGTGATATACCTCTGGTTTGTCCGATTTTTTGTGTGTCTTTTCTTAGCTTGGATTGTTTATATGTTTCATGGCAACAGATAAAAAAAGTCTTGCTAGCATATGGTTATTCGCAATATTTAAAAAATCTGAGCTTTGTGCAGTAGATAAAGTTTGGATTAGCTCAATTATTATTAACTAAACATTAAGCTACTATAACCAAGTCCTTGGATGATGGAAGATGTTCTGTGGGCTGTTAGCATTAGGTAGTTTACCAGCTCAAGAGCCACATTTAGTATTCTGGACTGACAAAGATACAATAGATGAGAGAAGTTACACAGATAAGAGAATATGAATTATAGTCTATGCACAGCCCAGTAGAGGAAGAGTGTCAGTTTGTTTACAACCACTGATGTCCTCTAAGACCTGCAGATAATGTGCTGTGGCCCAATTCTTCTTTCTGGTCTTGAAGCTTGAAGCATAAACACAACAGACTTCCCCCCTCTCTTATGTATGTTTCCCTGTTTCTAGAGGACTCATTTTTGAACTTTGACAAACTGGTGAGATTTGCATCAGTCATCAAGGCATTGACAGGTCAGAGCCTCAGCTGACACAAATCAATCCCAATGCATCTCCACACCAAAGTAAGTCAGTGAGAACCCAGTCTTGGAGAGTATGGTAAGCTAGTTTAAGACAACTCTAGATGTCCAAGCAACAGGGGAGAAGGTACCTGTTCTCGGACCTGGACCAATTTCAGGTTAACACATCATTGCAAACTAGATATTTAGCTGTAATAAAATCCAGTGATACAAATCCTGTTAAGGAAATGATACTACAATATAGCTCGGTCTAAGGCTGTAACTGCAGAGGGTTTTTTAGCTTTGGGTTGGAACCATTCCTAACACAGTAAATCACATCTAAAATATTTGTCATAACTGGTAAAATGCCATTGTACACTTACACAATTGAAGTGTGACAACATAGTTGAACTTGAAAATCAACAGCACACCACTCTGGTTTAATAGGCAGTTACCTCCCTTCAGGAAAACACGAAAAAGGAGATTCTTACCTCATCCAGTACCTCCAAGGTTGCTAAATCATCTACCTCTTCCTGGTTTGAAACTAGTGATTTACTGTAGTTCCCTTTCTTTGTATGAATACGTTCAAATCTAGAAAAGACAGACATGCAATTTCCTGATATAAGGAAACACAGAACGGACCTTCCATCTGTAACCATCTTGAAGGCAATTCAACCAAAACACTTCAGCTTTCCATTGTTCTGAATTCAAACACACAAATGTTTGAGTAATAAGGCAGAACACTTCTTAGTGCAGCACACCTGTACTTGACAATTCAAAATCTATAGTTTGATCCCACAACTGATAACATGAAGAACCTTTCCACTGTACAGATGCCTTCTTGATCACACCCCTACATCAGCTGCAAGACTGGATCTATGTAGTACATAGAAAAAAAAAAGAACATATTTATAAAGCATGTAACAGTCAAACTTCTAGCACTTACCTGTAAAAATAAAAAATGACCCACATAAAAATGATGAAAAATGATTTTCAATAAAAAACAAGGGGTGTATGATTAAATAGTATGGCAAGGATGATGCAGACAAAGCATTTGGTATGGAAACACTTCTAGCTTAATAATGACAATGCTCTAAAGCCTGGCTGAGATGACCACACTGTAGATAAAAGTGCTACAGAACCACTGGGGTATGTGAAATACATCCGGACCATTAAGAATTTTCTTGGACTCTACAGAAAAAAAAAATAATCACACAAAAAAAATTTCAAATCTTTTTCTTATCAAGCTTAAACTTCAATTAAGTTTGTCTTATAGTGAAAGTTCTTTTCTCTTTTTATCAAATCAAAGAAAACTTTATTCAGTCTTACAGAAATCAGCAAGAAAATTTCCCCAAGACTTGGATCATTCTCTATTCAAGAGTAAAGGCATTGCTAAATAAGGCAAAATCAGCAGAAAATGAAAGGTCTACAATTCACATATACTTGCTTTATGAGATGAAGGAAAATCAGGGAAAGGGAAACTGCATGAGTAACAGCAGGTTCACAAACTAAATCAAGCTCAGATTTGCAATACGGCACAAGCACACAAAGACTATCAAGGAAATCCAATCTCCTGATAGGACCTCTCTGCCCTTGATATTATAGGTAGGAAGGCACATCTCAAATACATGGAACATGTACCTTGGTAAACTGAGATGGCAGGGAAACTGTGTTGTGTGAAACACACTAACTATTTACCTTGATTCCAGACAAGAGCAGGGAAATCCTTTACTTAATTTTGACAGTTGGATATACGGTATGAGTAAAAGCAGACAGGTGTTTTCCACTCATGCAAGAACTTTAATATACAGTGCACTGAAGACAGGAGAAAGAGGGCACTTGCATCAAGATGGAAAGTTAGAATGAATGAACATCACACTGATGGGGCAAGCTAATAGACTTCTGAACCCCCGCAGTAAGATTTACTGCAGAGTTTAATGGGTTGTACTAATTCCACAAACATCATCTACTTCATGGGTGCTACTTCAGGTCATGCAGGCTGTGCACTGATGTGGCATGCAGGTGTAGAAAGTCAAGCAGGCACCCACTTGGCATCAGTTACTGATTGCCAGGACTGAAAAGGGGCTGGAATAAATGGGCAAATGATGCCCTCCCAAACTGTGAGTGCAATCAAGATCTGAATGATGGAAGTACAGGCATGGATGCACTTCATCTAGTATTTCTTCCCATTTCTCTTGTCTCTATCATTCCCTGAGGGTGGCAGAATGACCCTGTCCTCACCCAGGTGCCAGTAATGGAACAGTTTCTTCCTCCCTTAGGCAGATGCCAGCTACCACTGGAGTTTTTCCACTGTCCAGAGTGCAAAGGCAGGAGTTTCACACCCACAGACTAATATCAAGACACAAACATGTAAGACTTCATTGCAAGGGCTAGCACAGTTTCACAGTCAATATCACAGCCCAACACCCAATGTGGTGGCTAAGTGACCAGGAAACATGATGAACAGCATGGATCAACAGATCTACATTGCCCTGATCGAAGAGAGGGACCAAGTCTTGCCAGTTTTACACTCAGCTATTTTGCAGACTACTCTCAAACTGTTGTTAGGACCCTGGAGCTGCATGAGAAAGCAACCTGCTTCCAAATGTTTTCTCTCTTTTAGTATTCACTACAGGCAAAAAAAAAGGCTGTTGTATATAGAGTAAGGATAATGGCGAGGCTAAATGACACAGAGGTGAAAAGCAATGAGAATACTACAGAGCACAGTACTAGAGCCTTACTACTGCCTTGCGGCACAGAACATGCAATATCATGGGCCTATTCCAACATCAGCAGTGCAAACAGGTAAAAAAAGATGCAGGAGGAGTGTTGTCTGAGTGGGGGAAGAAAGGCAGCTTTTGCTGCAATAAATCCATAACCGGGCTGTCATCTGGTATGTATTTAAATATGTTGAAGCAGAAAACACACAGGAACACAAGCAGGCAGCATCAAAAGGGATTGGTCTGGTGTAAAGCAATCTCAACTCTCCTAGGTCCAATCTCTTCTTCCCTTTCCTTTGGAACCCATTTGTACTGAGAGAGCTGTCCTCATAGTACTGTCCTTGCAATAACACAGTGAAACAATTTTTTGTGTATGTACCTCCAGGTTGTATTAAAAAGGATGTGGCAAAATTAAGATTTAAATTAACTCTTTGGCCTTGCATGGTCTGCTGCTGCTCGATTTGCATTTACCAGCTAAAGGATATCATTGCATTCAAAGCCAGAATCCTATCCCCTCAAGAGAAATCTGTCCCCTCTATAACCCACCCTATTTATATCTCTTTTTAACAGTTTCAGTTGAAAATTTAAATTTGAACAGTTGAAATACCTTCTCCTTTGTTCCTGCATGAAGGTCATTTTGTGACCAGAGGATGCATCTAGTATCAGAATGACTTTGAGAAAGACCTATCAATATGTATGTGAGAGAAAGCTGTGGGAACTGCAAGACTACGTCAAGCTCTGCTGTTCTACTTTTTCCATTGCCAAAGGAAGACCCAAAACAAGACATCTGTCAAGTTATGCTTTCCATTTCTGGTGGAATTGTTACACATTGAATACACTTAAAAAAAAATTAAAATTACTGCATATCACTGAGAGAGTATTTCCCAAGATTTGTTCCAATTACCATTTTCATTTAATGTAGGAAGTTAACTGCCTTGCAAGAAGGGAAGGGAATGCTCCAGTCATGAAGACTTTTCTTTTTCTATTATTTTTACTTTTCTTTTAAGGAAACTATCTCTATTTATGCCAGGGAAGTTTAATTACATAAAACTGATTCTCCTGTAATCCTCTTCAGCTGACATTATGAGAACACTAGTTCTTGTTAAACTAGATTATATTCTCCATTCTCCAGAGTACAGCAGAGCAGCAGATTTGCAAAACACAATATTTTTCTGCTTTGCTGTCAAAGGGCACAGACCCCTCAAGGGCAGCTATAGTGCTTCACTTGCTAAAACTTCAACCACTTAAAAAACCCATATCAGTACTGTTGACATCAATGCTGAAATTTCATTATCGTCATGCTCATAGACATTGTGAACTGAAATAGCCATGTTTCTCTGTTCTGTTCAGAAATTATTTGTTGGAGGCATTAGATCTTACAGCCATGCTCGACAAGCAATTCCAGCAGCTGAAGGCCAGAAACATCAACCCAGTATGGAAAAGAAAATGAGTCAAGGCAGCATTGTTTCTGTGCATCCTCCTTCACACCCCCCTGCTTATCTTTCAAGATTCTGTTAAATCAAAATAAGGCAACTGCAGCTTTTTCTTCTTCAAATTGTCAGAATGTATTTAAAAGATTTCTGATAGTTCCAAAAATACCATGAAAAGGGAAGTGTGACTCATGATGCCCTGTTGAACTCTCTGCCTGAACTGGTTGGAGAATCATCTACAGACTTAAAACTGACAGGAAAAGAACTGGCCTTAGCCTAGGTGTAAAGAAGAAACTAAAAATAATTAAGTTTTCTGTAAGGTGAAGATGGGAACAGCTGTACACGTCCCAGTAGTTACAAATAGCATTAAAAGTGACAAACGCAAAAGAAGCAACACAGATAAACTTGTACAGGATCTGTCATTGCTGATGATCCTTATGTCTCTGGAGGCTGCACAGAGCAACATTGATTCACACCTAAAATCAAAATTTTGTCAACAGATGTATCTGGTGAACTATGCTTAAATAAAACTATAGTCTTAAATCTATGTACAATCTGTACCCTTAGAAAAGTGTATTGATAAGATTCCAGCAGTGTCTGCACAATGCTTTGCAGACAAACCTGTGCTACCTCTATGTTTAAATGATTGCACAGCACCAGCTGCAGTCTCAGGCAGCTGTGCTCAAGCTTGTGCAATGTTGCTGAGAGCACAGTGCTGCAGGGCTTTTGATTCAGAGGGGGGCCATGTCCAGCCACTTCACAGAATCACAGAATCATCTAGGTTGGAAAGGGCCTTGAACATCATCTAGTCCAACCGTTAAACCGTTAATTCGGTCATGTTCTCCTCTGCACAATCTGCCAAAGTCTGTGCTGGTTTATCATGCCCTGCAAAAGAGCAGATTACTGGTCCTTCATAACAGCCTCAAGAAGTGGCTGTACCCCTGACAAATTTCAGGGAAAAATATTTGTTCTTAACTGAGCAAATAAAAGAACTCTAAAAGAACTCTGGGATTAGTTCTTTATTGCCCTTATGAGTCAGGCCCATGCTCTATGGACAGAACCATACTGATAAGATGAAGAAGCTCCAAAAATAAGTGATGCCTGCTGAGATATTCCACCTTCAGGAGAAATGAGTTGCTGAGCAAGTGGACTGACACAACAGTAAAGTAGCAGTTGCAGAGCCCAGGGAGTCCTGAATGGAGGAGGAACTTCCTCCTCCTGTTTTGCTTCAGGAGGTAAACTATTCTTCATTCAGGCATTGCTTCTTCACATTGTATTGTATGGAATTATATTCTTATTATGCTGTAGAGATGTGTATTAGCTAGAAGCATACGGGACTGGAGATCTGCTTATTCCAAGGCCTGTGCTGCGAGAAACTATTGCTTCTAGAGCCTGAGAGCACTTTGCAGCACAGCCAGCCTACACAGGAGTGTCCTCAATG